TATTTGGTTTTGTATAAAATACTTTTACTTCGTACCGACTGTTTACTGATTGGCTAACCTTTCTCAAGGTCACTTGAGATTCGTTCAAAGGTCTTCCATAAATTATAGTCTCGCCAGATTTATTTATTTAATTATAAATTATGTAAGATATTAGATAGGAGGAATGTATAAAACTCCGCCTGTAGCTCCTCTGGGGGTTACTGCCGGTCCCATGCCCGGGTAAAGAAGGAGGGTTGGGCATGGGGTTAGCGACCCCATCCCGTAGAAAATCAACTCGCTAAAAAAACGTTAACCAGAAAAAAATCATTCAAACCTTTCAAACTCTGCCCTGGGAGTAGAAGGAGTAATTATGACGTCTCATGATGAAAGCCGAGTTCCTTCGGAAGTCATGAGGCCGATGCACCTTCTTACAACCAGAGCGACAATTTTTATAGGTACATGGAATGTTGGGACAATGTGGGAGACCGAAAAAGTCTTCCAAATTGCTGCAGAAATGAGAAAATACAACCTGGAGGTTCTTGGAATCAGCGAAACACATTGGACGCAGGTTGGACAACAACGACTGTCTTCAGGAGAACTTCTGTTATACTCCGGTCATGGAGAAGAAAATGCCCCTCATACACAAGGAGTTGCATTGATGTTGTCCAGAAAAGCACAAAATGCACTTATAGGATGGGAATCTCATGGACCAAGGATCATCAAAGCCTCCTTCAGAACAAAGAGAGAGGGCATTACAATGAACGTCATCCAATGCTATGCGCCGTTCAAAGACTACGATGAAGACGATAAAGACCAATTCTACGATAGGCTGCAGTCGATCTTCGAGAAGTGCCCAACCAAGGACCTGACAATTCTGATGGGAGATCTCAATGCTAAGGTTGGAATGGACAACACTGGATACGAAGACGTCATGGGACAACATGGACTGGGAGGAAGGAACGAAAATGGTGAGAGATTTGCAAACCTATGTGCCTTCAATAAACTGGTCATAGGTGGCACCATATTTCCACATAAAAACATACACAAAGCCACTTGGATTTCACCGGATCACACTACACAGAATCAAATCGACCATATCTGCATCAACAAAAAGTTCAGGAGGACGATGGAGGATGTGAGAACCAGGAGAGGGGCTGATATAGCGTGCGATCATCATTTGCTGGTCGCCAAGATGAAACTAAAGCTCAAGAAGCACTGGACAACGGTGCGGACAACATCACAAAAGTTTAATACGGCCTTTCTTCGAAATGCTGACAAACTCAACAAATTCAACATAGCCGTCATCAACAGGTTCCAGGCCTTTCATGACCTACTCAATGGAGAGGGGACTACCATGGAGAGCGACTGGAAAGGTATCAAGGAGGCAATCTTTTCACCGTGTCAAGAGGTTCTGGGCCAAAAGAAGCACCATCACAAGGAATGGATCACTGTTGGTACACTGGATAAGATTGAAGCAAGGAGGAACAAGAAGGCAGCAATCAATATCAGCCGAAGCAGAGCGGAAAAAGCCGAGGCACAAGCCGAATACACAGAGGCAAACAAGCAAGTGAATAGAAGCATCAGAACCGACAAACGTAAATATGTTGAAGATTTAGCAACGACAGCGGAAAAGGCTGCAAGAGAGCGAAACATGAGATAATTGTATGATACAACAAAGAAACTTGCTGGAAATTACCATAAGCCAGAAAGACCAGTGAAAAGCAAGGAAGGCAAAGTAATCACCGACATTGAAGAACAACGAAACAGGTGGGTAGAACACTCCAAAGAACTCTTGAATCGACCAGCTCCACTGAACCCACCCAACATCGAAGCAGCACCCACGGACCTCCCAATCGATATTGGCCCACCAACAATTGAAGAGATTAGCATGGCCATTAGACAAGTCAAGAGTGGCAAAGCAGCGGGACCAGACAACATCCCGGCAGAGGCACTGAAAGCAAATGTAACAGCAACTGCCAAGATACTACACATCCTCTTCAGTAAGATTTGGGACGAAGAACAAGTACCAACAGACTGAAAAAAAGGACTTCTGATCAAGATACCAAAGAAAGGCGATCTGAGCAAGTGCGACAACTACAGGAGCATCACTCTTCTCTTAATACCAGGAAAAGTCTTCAACCGAGTATTGTTAAACAGGATAAAGGATTCTGTGGACGCCCAACTTCGAGATCAACAAGCTGGATTTCGTAAGGATAGATCGTGCACAGATCAAATCGCAACTCTGCGGATCATTGTGGAACAATCAATCGAATGGAATTCATCACTCTACATCAACTTCATCGACTACGAGAAGGCACTTGATAGCGTGGACAGGACGACACTGTGGAAGCTTCTTCGACACTACGGCGTGCCTGAGAAGATAGTCAATATCATACGGAACTCCTATGATGGACTAAACTGCCAAATCGTCCACGGAGAACAACTCACCGACTCGTTTCAAGTAAAGACCGGTGTTAGGCAAGGTTGCTTACTCTCACCCTTTCTCTTTCTCCTGGTCATCGACTGGATCATGAAGACGTCAACGACTGGAGGAATGCACGGGATACAGTGGACAGACAGGATGCAGCTTGACGATTTAGACTTCGCGGATGATCTGGCTCTTCTATCACAAACGAAACAACAAATGCAGGAGAAAACGACCAGTGTCGCAGCAGCCTCAGCAGCAGTAGGTCTCAATATAAACAAAGAGAAATGCAAGACTCTTCGATACAGTACAATATGCACCAATCAAATTACACTTGACGGAGAAGCTTCGGAGGATGTGGAAACCTTTACATATCTGGGCAGCATCATTGATGAACACGGTGGGTCAGATGCACATGTGAGGGCGCTGATCGGCAAAGCAAGAGCAGCATACCTACAACTGAAAAGCATCTGGAGCTCAAAACAATTGTCAACCAACACCAAGGTTAGAATTTTCAATACAAATGTCAAGACAGTTATATTGTATGGGGCGGAGACGTGGAGAACTACGAAAGCAATTATCCAGAAGGTACAAGTGTTTATTAACAGTTGTCTACGCAAGATACTTCGGATCCGATGGCCAGACACTATCAGCAACAAGTTACTGTGGGAGACAACAAACCAGGTTCCATCTAGTGGAGGAAGAAATCAGGAAGAAGCGCTGGAAGCGGATTGGGCACACTTTGAGAAAGTCACCCAATTGTGTCACAAGATAAACCCTCACATGGATCCTGAAGATCAAAGGAGAAGAGGAAGACCAAAGAACACATTACGCCGAGAAATAGAGACGGACATGAGAAGAATGAACAAGAACTGGATAGAACTAGAAAAGAAGGCCCAGGACAGGGTGGGTTGTAGGATGCTGGTCGGCGGCTTATGCTCCATTGGGAGTAACAGGCGTAAGTGAGTAAGTAAGATTATTGAGGGAAACATTGAATTTATTTCATATTCAATCATTGAGATTTAACAAAAACATTCTTCTTTCTTAATGTCTTCCATGAACTCAGTACCTAAACATTGTGAAGCTATTTATTCAAATTTAAACGAAAGTTATGTATTATCAAAATGGTTATATTGGTTGGATGGATGTTTCCATTTTTAACAAAATATTAAATGAACTACAATATAGTCAAATTTGAATGGTAATTATAGATTTACGATTCTAATTACACAACATATTTTGACATGGATTCGAACCTTATTTGTTTAAGAACGTAGATGTTGATATTTCACTTGCACTATTTTAACATTAAACAAATTGATATACAATCATGTAAAGCATATTTTAAACTAAATCAGAGGAATTCGATTAATATCAACGGTTAGAAAACTTCAGTTCTTAATTTCTCATGGATTCGGAAGTTGTTTTTTCAGAGAGGGGGGGGGGTAACAGTAAATCCTAAAAGTATTACACGTTTCTGTGTCCACAGTAAACTATTATGTAATCCAATTTCTTTTTTACATATATTTGTCATACTACAATTTCTGAATATTATAATTGATTGATCACTGAGTGGTGATCAATGTCATATATATCAAATCCTTCTTAGTACAAATCGAATGCTATCGATCAAGTTGCAATATGGCCACTGGTCTACTTGGCTCTACACTGCGTGCAATATGTTAAGATAAGATAATGGCTGGAGGTAGTCAACAAGAAACCCTGGATCCGGGTTTCAGTGGTAATGTCTCTAACTGTGAAGCTGGATGACACAGGATCGAATCCATCAAATTGAGAAAGTTACTGATCAAAACAATATAATCAGCTTCAGTCTATTACTCTTTTGGTCAATAATAGTAATGTAATAAATAGAAAGAGGTTATTTAAAATAATTTGTAGTATACTTTACTACTTTTCATTATAGGGTTTGATCTTATCTCTCTGTTTGACATAGCAGAAGTTCTTTGGATTCGAGTTCATTAAAATATTTTTTCATTTATTGAATAGTTTCAACAATTTTTTAGTGAATGTTATTTCAGTGTCTATTCATTCAAGGTGTTGACCTACTTTCTATTTATAGAACGTTAATTCAAGCCTTTATTATTATTATTGTAGGTATCAATACCAAGTTTAGATTTGATAATTTCGAACTAAATTGACCATTAGATAGATCGTTATAAATAACTAATATATTAGTAATAGTAGAAGGGGGTTTGGTAGAGATTTTACTAAGTTTTTAGTGGTTAAGCGCTCACGTGCGAGACTGATAGATCCTGGGTTCGAATCTCGCGAGGCAGGATCGTGGATGCTCACTGCCAAGGAGGAGACCCACAATAGGACAAAACGACCATCAAGCAGTACTTCCAGGTTTTTCTTGGTGGTCTACCTTCAATTTACTCATGATTTTAACTAATATCCACAAAACCCCCCTTCTGATATGAAGATTAGTTTGAATCTAAATAAGAAAAATAATATTGTTTCTTTATCAACTATTACATAACTTGTAATACATTGAATACTCGAAGTCAATGTTTATTCGTATAATAGAGCACTTACCTGACTTGATTATTTCACTGGAATACTTTTTTTTACCTTATTAAATTAGACATGAATCTGATTCATCATCTGAAGAACAAAGAAAATCATGAAAAACATTTTTGATGAAACGAATCATTATTGAAAGAAAGAGAAAAGGAAAAGTGACTAACCTATAAATCTATATATATATATATATATATATATATTTACCGGTCAATCTATTTATAGTTATTGCCGTCTGTAGCTCCACCGGCGACTACTTCCAGTCCCAAGCACGGATAAAAGAAAAGGGTTGGCATAGGGTTAGTGACCCCGTCCACTAGAAAGCTAATCCGCTAAAAAAACTAATCGGAAAAAATTATATTTCTAGTTCGGGAGATTTGTAAAAATTGTTGAATTTTGTTTCTTTTCTTGTAGTTGAAATCATGAATCAATTGAAGCTAGATCACCATGGAAAACCTGGAAATACTGGACGACTGTTTCGTCCTATTATGTGACTTCTCAGCAGTGCGCATCCACGATTCCGCCTCACGATATTCAAACCCAGGACCTATTAGTCTCGCGCGCAAGCACTTAACCACTAGACCAATGAGCCGACCGGCATCCAACGGTGTTAATGTCTAACTTCAACCAATCCACGAAATTGAGCGACACACCCGCCATGGTCTTCAGTGAAATGATATCTCACAACAGATCTGGTTGAACCCCACTTCTTTTTTTATCAAGGACATTGCAAGTAGAATGGATTGAACAGCCGTTTTTTTTCTTGTGAGAAATTACGTACGCTCATGGATCCTCCGACTCCACTCCGGATAGAATTCAATATCTGTAAGAATTGTTTTGAGTGCTAACTCTTTAGACCACTGAATCATCATTTACTGGTTCTTCTTTCTAACTTCAATCAATTAGTAATGTTGTTTAATCATCTTCTAATGTATCTGATATGTAACTGCCTCAAGTTGAACGCAATTGAAAACTATTGGTTATCAATGGTTGTTTTACTACGATCAAGGTATGGTATGAATAAGGTACTTTTATCTGGACATCACAAACTATTTCATGATTTAAATTTTACTCGAAAATATTAAACTTATGAGTGTTTATTTGTAACACAGTTTTTAGTACTTCAAGTAAATGGACGGCACTCAACTAACGTTTCGTCCTATTATGGGGCTCCTCGGAAGTGCGCATCCACGATCCTGCACTCGCGAGATTCGAGCCCAGGACCTACCAGTCTCGAGCCAGAGCACTTAACCATTTAGTGCTTCCAGGTTTTCCATGATGGTCTACCTTCAATTGACTCACGTTTTCAACTATGAAAATACTAAATCTCCACAAAACCCCTTCTGAAATGTAAAGTAGTTATGGTATTTTCATTTCAAAGTGTAATATAAAATAAAACCGATGGATGACATAGTTTTGATACGGAAAGCTAATTTGATATTTAGCAAACTGTTATATCTGAACAAAGAATAGATGAATAGTAACTGATAGTGTAGAGAACAAGAACACGAGTGGGGACAATCAAAAGGTATTTGACTTGAAAATTACAGACTATCTCGGGATAGTGGATGCACACTGCCAAGGAGGAGTCCCATAATAAAACGAAACGGCCGTCCAGTGCTTCTAGGTTTTCCATGATGGTCTAGCTTCAATCGACTCATGATTTCAACTTTGAAAGAATTCTCAAATCTCCACAAAACCCTTTCTGATAACTAAAATCTGGCAATCATACATTAGACAGTTTGTTTGCAAATATCAGTCCAGCTTCTCTTATTTTATTGGTTATTCATTTTCATACTAATTGCTTTCCGTTCCGGTCCTTTCCTTATCAAACTTCTAGTGAAATACATTCTATGCCTGACCATCACCATATACTACTTATGTGGATATAAGTAACCCACACTACACTACTAATTATATATGGACTATTAATACATTTATTCTTGTTAGATAATCATTCTTTTTGTTATCAGCCTTCATTTGACATATTGGCCAATGTTATACAATTTACTACTTTTAAGTCATTCCCAATCTTTTAGTTACAATCTCTTATACTCACAATGACTTTTGTCTTGATCTTGTATAGTTACTTAGCATTTAATGTTGTAATGCGGTCTGGTCGACTTGTGTATAATCCAATTATGTCTAAAATATGAAATTCATGAGGTGGAGGCTGATATTCATGTTCTGAACTGAACGAACTGGACTACACGAGAAGCTACTATACAGAGGATCAATAAAGACTTAAGGTTGACTTAAAGCTGCTTATTGATTAGTTGGATGAGACAGTTTCTGAGTGGTTGAAAATATTGAACACTGGATACTGAATCATTCAATGAAAAGTTAGACTTGGACGCCTTGGTCTCAATCCTTGAATGCTTCCTGATAACGCCTAGCAAATAAGAATAACTCAGCTATTCAACACTTTGTTGTTTTTAATTGTTCCCTATAACCAGTCAGAATCAAAGTTCATATTCTTAATTTATACTACTTACCATCAATTTCATGACCATTTAATATCAAGTTATTGTTGATTGAAGTTTTCGGTACTGTAGAGATTTCGACATCATTACATGACTGAAATATATGAAAATATCAAATAAAGAGAGATGAATATGTGTAGTAGATAAATAAAAAAAGGCATAGAAACGTGATTGAATCATTCAGATTTCAATTATATACAACAAATCGAACATTAAAAATGTCAAACTGTGTGTGTGAGGGTTGTCATACTGCACAGGCTCCCAAACCGAAGCAGGTGGTTTTCTTAGGGGGTCAAACCCGGAGCCTTTGACCTGAAGGTCTGATCCACAAGGCAGTGTGGCGTCATGAGGAGATGCAGTTCCATGGTAGCCGGTGACCGACGACTGGTTAATATACCATTTGTTCCCTTAGGATACTGGAGCCCACGTGCACCATTAGTTTGGAATCAGGGTTTTTCAACTCCCCTAGGTGAACTTTCCGTGTCCACCAACCCGGTCGACGCGCCAGGCATTCTCTTTTCATCTCGTCAATTTCGTAAACAACACCGGTGCCACGAGAAGGCAGTGAGTAAGACTTCCCTGACAGAGGATATATACGTGTGGTCATGTGAGAGCGTTTCGAAAGGGAGAGCAGACTGTCTCCACTTTCGGTCGTACCAAGGCATTTGGAGGCAAGTTGGTTGATTTTTACAAACTTCACTATAAAAAACTATATTCATATGTTAATTGCTAAGTAAATATGAACAATTGATTAGTTGCTGAATAGTAATCAACGTTCTATTTGTCTAAGCTTATAGTATTAATGAAATTGTGTTTAAGTTCCAGTGTAATCACTGGCTAAGTTCTCAAAGTTCTCTCAGAAAGTTGTCTGATTCAACTATGTTAAGAATAGAATGGTCATAGTTTGTAGTGACCTACATTTGTGACGAGAACGCGATTGATATGACGGAAACCATTGTTATCATACTGCATTATACTGTACTTGTTTGTTCAAGTGTACCAAAGACACATTTCCTTCCGCTGCCTGTGACCTTGCACGAACTCAAGTACGCTCAATAGTTCCACTTGTCAACTTTGGCACACCTCGTTATTCTTTCTATACTACGAGATTGTCAACAAATATATCTTATTTCAACCATCAACAGCCTTCTGGTTTTTGGCCTACCAAGGGATCTAACTCCATACCTGGCACGTAATCTTCCTGTAGTTGTGATCATAGTCAATCGCAACTAGACGCCATCTACAAGTTCATAAGTCAATTAAAGATAGACCATCGTGAAATACATGAAAACGCTGGATGGCCATTTCATTCCAGTATGAGACCCCTCAGAAGTGCCCATCAAAGATTCCACTCGTGGGATTCGAACCCAGGACCTTCGATCTAGCGCGTGATATTCTACTAAAAATGTCAAAAGAAAGCATTCAACAATCAATCGATTTTTCTTTAGACATAATCAATCTCTTTCGTCATATTGAAATATTTGAATCTGTTCAACCAGAGATGAGTATTCTACATGATTTATGAACTAACCGACTTTGTTTGACAATTTGATTTATGTGACATGATAAATAGTAAATTGTTATTACTAGAAGGGGTTTTGTGGAGATTTAGTGTTTTCATAGTTGAAAACGTGAGTCAATTGGAGCTAGACCATCATGAGAAAGCTGGAAGCACTGGACGGCCTTTTCATCCTATTGTGGGACTCATCAGCAGTGCGCATCCACGATCTCACACTGGAGAGATTCGACACCCAAAACCTACCAGTCTCGCGCCGGAGCACTTAACCGATAGACCACTGAGCCAGCCGGTATCTTGCGGTGTTAATGTCTAACTTCAACTGATCCACTATGTTTGAGCAACCAATTGTTCACCAATTGTCTTCAGTGAGATCCTATCTCACAACAGACGTGCTTTGAACTCCACTGGTCAATACTTCTCACTAGAACTCCTGGATTTACCTCTCGAAGTCAGTCACTAGTTCTGGGTTCGAACGTCGCGAATGCGAGATCGTGGATGCGCACTGCCACTGAGCAGTCCCATAATAGGACAAAACGACTGTTCACTGCTTCCAAGTTTTTCAATGGTGGTCTAGCTTCAATTGACTCAAGCTTTCAACTATGAAAATAGTAAATTGACAATAAAGTTTGATCAGAGGTAAAATTGTTTTGAAAAGAAAGACTACTATCACTACTACTAATAATGGTGTATGAGTAGTCTAACAACTCTGACATTTAATAAAAAACTACTAGTTACGAGTACTTACATGATTATTATTGTTATTGTTATCATGGTCCGTTTCAGTTTTCATTTGATAAAGCAATGGTTCCGAATGTATGGATCTCATTTTACCATTCATATTAGAGTTAACTTTAATAGTCAATCTATTCTTTACTGGTGATGATATTGATGATGATGACGACGACAACAATAATGACGGTGTTATCACAACTGATGATGGATTCATCATATTCGTCGGTTTCTCATGTTCTTCGACTTGGCCAATATTACACTTACGATTTAAATTCATGATCTTTTTAAAGTTTCCATCATTCATTGAATTCACAGAAATCTCAGTGATTTCTGATATATTCAATAGATCTGATTCAGAATCCCATTTACTATCAGTTAAATTATGATGATGATGAGGATGATGTTGACTATGACTAATGGAATAATCAGTATTTTGTGTGAATGGTTCAAATGGTTTTAATGAATGGATTGTTTTATTATCTTGTTTATACTTTAATGGAGATGATGATGATGAATATAAATGAGGCTGCGAAGAGAATGATGATGATGATGGTGATAATGGGGTTGTTGATGATGAAGATGATAATGATTTCATAATGAATTGATGTTGATCTTGTTTATTAGTTAATCCATTATGGATAGTAATTGTTGATTGATCAATTTCAGGTTGTTTCAATTCACTACTACTATTATTAATATTAGTAGTATAAGCATATTTATTAATAATATGTGGCGATGATAATGGTTGTGTTGTTATTGTTGTTCCTAATGAATTTTTCAATTGGTCAGTTTCATTTTCAATGATTAAAACGGCTGATTGTGATTTACCAGGGTTCAATGATTGAATTGATCGGCGATAACTATTATTATTAGTAGTATTATTATTAGTATTGTTCCCTGTATCACTGACGAGACGGCGAAAATGTTGTTCAGATGAAAACTTTTGATCTGGTAAGATGGATTTGGTAACTTGGTCATTATTAGTACTACTACCACTGTTATAATCATTGTTAGTAGTAGTACTAAAAGTAGTATTAGTAGTAGTGGTAATTTTATGATTATTAGCCATTATATTATTATCAATACTCAGCGGTCGATTAATCCTTGCCATATCAACACTTGTAGAACGTTGTGTATTACGTCGTCTAAGATCAGCACGTACAAAACTAGTTCGATTCATCATTTTGGTATTGTTATTACTGTGGTTGAGATTTGCGTTCGTATTATTATTGTTATGGTTGCCGTTAATAACTCCTTGATTCATTACAAAAGAAAATGGTAGAAAAGATTAAATCATATGAAATATTCATTTATCACAGTGAGAAAAAGTAAACAAACAGGGTTCTAATTCACTTGGTATTGTTTGTTTGAATCTTTCCATTGATTTTTAGGACTGCAATTGATCAGTCTCAGAGTGAAAATCAACAAGTCTGAGATGCAAGTACATCCAACTGACGAGTCTCAAATAGGACGGAACGCGTGTTAAACTGGATTCCACTGTTAACCACTGTTCATCTTTGTCTATAAACAGGGTTTTATTACTTCATAAGATGCATATATTTAACCTCATTTGGAAATCATTAGCCATTGTTTACAAATACGAAAAATCATTACATAACACTTTCATTGTTTTTTTTGTTTTTGGGCAGACTCATTTTTTCTTACCATCTTTTTGACTATTTGTAGCATTCGTAATCGTTTGTAGGTATAGGTAAAGTGATTGATTAAGCCGATCTCCACCACCCGTATTAGCGCTCACGTTAGTACATGGGATGAATGTCATGATCCAGGAGGTACGACGAGGACATGTGAGTATTCATGAATTTGGATGACAATAAGTTAATTATTCACTACATACGCATTTTGAATGATTTAAGTTACCAAATCAGTTATAACAGTTATTTTTTTCATATTCTTATCATCATTTTTAAGGGTTTCTATTATTTACTTGTTAATAATCGTGAATGAGTATGTTCTCATCTATGTTAGCATATACTTGCTCCTATTCTAGTACAGTGCTACGCTAATCTTTCACCTCGATAACCATTATAATACAAATTTTAACGGTGCATGAAATCAGAAGGCCAAGAGATAAGGCAACTACAGTTTATTATCGAATAACGCAAGCCACAAAGCTACAAGCGTATGAGTAAGTATGAGCGAGCAAAGCGAAAATAATACACATTGGAGATCGTGGGTAAGCCAACTAGCTTTCATCAAGCATTAATCTATCGGTTAAGTGCTCGCACGCGAGACTGGTAAGTCCTGGGTTCGAATCTTGCGAGGCGGGATCGTGGATGTGCACTGCCACTGAGGAGTCCCACAATAGAGCGAGACGGCTCTCCAGCATTTCCAGGTTTTTCATGATGGTCTAACTTCAATTTACTAATGATTTCAACTATATATAAAAATGTCCACAAATAACCCCAAAATAAATTAATGCATAATTTAACACTTATTATCATTACACTACACATATAACAGTAGTATTTATTTATTTAAACATATAAATATTGGTACAAAGGGACACCAGATATATATGCGCCACACAAATTTCATTTGATTTATGTGAGAGCTGTGATACTTCCCTGATGCCTAAACTGAAGCAGGTGGTTTTCTTAAGGAGCACTGGACATTCGCTTTTCTAATTCTTCTCAATTTCGTAAAAAACACACCTTATCGCGAGAAGGCAGTGAGTAGGACTTCCCTGACGGAAGCTGTATACGCGCGGCCATGTGAGATCATTTCGAGAAGGAGAGCGAACTCTTCCCACTCTCGGCCGTACTAGGGCATTTGGTGGCAGTAATATAAAATGATTTTTATATAAATATAAATGATTCAATAATCATATTCTTGAAACTTACTTGGTTGAATTTCTGGTAATTGTTGAAAATGAATAATTTTTAATTGTAACATATCTTTTGTTGTTGTAATCAAATCAACTACTTCTTTATGGGTTGCATCATAAACATCTATACCATTAATCTAGAATGTAAAAGTTGATTATAAAAATAAAGGATAAAAACATAATACATTGGTGAAATGCAAAGAAAAAGAACACTAGTCAGCGAGACTAAACTTTATCGATGAGCCAATCAGAAGCTTTCGTTGATTTTCAAGGTTACGGCGCTAAGTTCGCTACCTAATGCTAACGTACGGTTGGTTTACAATGGATTTTAGAGAAGACATGCAAATTCAGAGTCTACAAGAGAAGTGATCATAAGATTTTGGCGCGAAATTCAATTATCCATTTGGATAAATAGAGTTTTGGCATTATAGCTGACGTCAGTTAGTGATGAAAACCCTAAGTATAATTCCTAACTTTCATTATGAACTGTAAATCATAATTTGAATTATTCACACAGGTTTATAACCCTCATTTGGTCTTAGTTATTATGTTGACACTCTCAGAGTCACTCTAGCGTCGCTCGAAGGTCGTCCATAAATTATAGTCTCACCCTTAACCCTAAACCCTAACCCCAAACCTTAACTCTAACCCCAAACCCTAAACCATACCAACAACATTGAAGCTATGTGGTCAAGGCTAAAAGAATTTTGAGACCTTATCATGGTTCCAGAGGTCGACTACTATGGAGCCATATGGATGTAATCCTGTACCATATGCACTATGATTTTAGAACTTCTGAACCTATATCTGACCTTGAGAAATTTTCCAGCCATGTAAAAGAACAGTATCCGCTTTAATTTTTTAGTTTTGTACAATATATTTACTAACTGTCTTCTGATTGGCTAATATTTCTCAAGGTCATTTAAGATTCGTTCAAAGGTCGTCCATAAAGTTTAGTCCCGCCCACTAGTCATAACTATTGTAGAGTTGTAATAGTTGGTACTATTGTGGTGTGAGCTACTGATATCGACATAAGTAGTATATATGGTGAGTAAGGAATAGAATATCTGACAGCAGAAGATTGAGAAGATCATGAAGAGAAGAACAGAAATAAAAAGCAATTTGTGTGGAAATCCAGGAACAATAAAGCCTGAGGCAATTGAAGAACATTTTGCAAATAGTGTATCATAGCATGGCTTTTGTATTTTACCAAATAACGTTGTAATTTGTGCTAAATATGTAGTTGGTTGTCCTCACCTGTGTTCTCATTCACAACATTTGGTATCGCTGTTTCCAAGGATGAAGATTACATGGCCGAAGGAATTTGAGGACGGAGACGTGCTGAGCTTCCTGGAGGAGTTCGAAGCTGTGGCGGAGCTGGTGGGGGTGAAGTAGCCGAAGGCGAAGACGGTGGTGCTGGGGACACTGCTGAGAGGCAGAGCGAAAGCTGTATATGACAGCCTGGACGGTGCGGGTGGTAAGACCACATGGGAGGCAGTCACGGAGCGGTTGACCGTGGAGTTCGATAGCCCAGTGGACAGCGAAGAAGCACTGCAGAAGTTCCGAGTGGCGAAGTTGCCGATCGATGGTGATCCGCTGGTGCTGGCCCTGGAGCTTACCAAGTTGCTGCGTCGCGCGCTGCCAAATCTGGATGAGGAGTCGGAGGCACAGTTGTTGGCGTCTCAGTTTATCGAGAGCGTGCCTGTTGCCGTTTCCCAGCAGCTGAGACTGGTACACGCCGCGCAACCTATGGATATCAGTGAGCTTGCAAAGGTGACGCGACAGTTGATGACACAAACAGTAGCTCCGGTCGCGTGCGGAAGTCAGGAGATAAGCAGCATTGAGAAGAAGATTGAAGAACTGCAGCACGAGATTGCGGCATTACGAGTGATTCGTAAAAGGAATGGTGAGTGTTTCGCATGTGGAGGGACAGGACACTGGAAGATAAACTGTCCAACACGACGAAAACGGAGATATTTTAGACGTTACGTGTTTCCTTCTTACTCTAGGGATCTGGGATTGTTGCATTAGTAGATAGAGGGGCAGTCTATGCAAGAGTGAACGTAAATGAATTAGATTTAGTGTGCCTAATTGATACAGGGGCAGCAGTTTCGTTAATAGGTAAAGAGCAATGTAAAAGTTTTAAGCCGTGTAAAGTCGTAGTTCACACTATAGGAGGGCATATGTTAGAGGTATTGGGTGTGTCTAACAGTATCGTAGAAGTGGATGGTTCGGAGATAAGTTTTCCGTTCGTGGTAACCGCAAACCTGTCGAGACCAATATTAGGAGCAGATTTCCTAAGAGAAGTAAAAGCCATAGTTGACCTAAGAAGAGGTAAGGTGGTCACGAAGTACGGTTCATTCTCAATACATGAAAGTAGCGAGGTGGCTGAGGTTAGAGTGGCAACAGCCGTTGTGACGAAGAAACCAAACATCACCGAGTTGTGCAAAAAGTATGCGAAACTGTCCACTGGAGAATGAAAACCGTACGGATTTTGCGACAAAGTAAAGCACGAAATCCCGATAAAGAACGATGGAGGAAGTATATTCACAACACGTCGTGTCCTTGTGCACTTAGAGGCTGAAGTAAATCGACAGGTCCAAGAAATGCTGAAAGAAGGAATAATTGAGGAGGCGGACAGCCCATATAGCTCACCGGTACTCTTGGTAAAGAAACCGAATGGGAAATATAGATTTTGTGTTGATTTTAGAGAGCTGAATAATATAACAGAACTAAAGCCGTGCGCAATGCCAACAGTAGTGGAAACATTAGATCGGCTGCAGAATGCCACGGTGTTTACAGTGTTGGATTTGCGGTCAGGTTATTAGCAGCTGCCTATAAAAGAGAGCGATCGAAGCAAGACAGCATTTACCATACGTGATAAACAATATCAATTTAGACGAATGCCGTTTGGATTGGCGGGTGCACCATTTACGTTCAGAAGATTAATGTCGCTACTGCTCAGGGATCTAGATAACGTCGAAGTGTATGGCGACGATGTGGTCGTATACAGCCAGACAGAAACAGATCATGTCAAGCATGTGGAAGCGGTCCTAAAGCGAATTGAAGAATTCGGACTTCGAATTAATAAGGACAAGTCACAGATGGCGAAAAGTAGCATCACGTTGTTGGGGCATGAAGTGGGAAATAGAGAAATAAAACCACTGCCGGAGAAAATTCTGACTATAAAGAACGTTGCAGTACCGAATTCGAAAAGGAAATTGAGACAATTCCTGGGAAATGCGGCGTTCTACAGTCGGTTCATCAAGAATTTCAACGAAATAGCAGCACCCCTTTATAAGTTGTTGAGTAACACTAAATTTTCGTGGACTGAAACCGCCCAACAAACGTTTAATCAAATCAAAAACATGCTGGACGACCGCCAGATGACGCTAAGACTGCCCGAACTGGAGAAACCGTTTACAATGACAACAGACGCAAGTGACCATGGTATAGGTGCCGTTTTAAGTCAGTCTGATAGAGTGGTGGAATACGTAAGTCGCGTTCTCACGCCTGCGGAACAGAAGTATTCAACGATCGAAAAGGAGTGTTTAGCGATTGTGTGGGCAGTAGACAAGTGGAGACCATATCTGTTAGGTAAACGATTTCACATCGAGACTGACCATAAACCTCTGCAGTGGCTACAAACAGCACGAGACCCACGTGGGAAGTTGGCGCGATGGACGATACGTCTGCAGGAGTATGACTTCAGTATAGGGCATGTTCCAGGGAAGGAAAATGTAATGGTGGACTATCTGTCAAGACCAGACATGGAAGCCGAGCTTCCATTGACAGCATACGCAGTGAACAGTATAGAGGGAGACCCACTAGAACTCGTCCGGCAACAGAAATCTGATCCTAAACTTCGAGAGGTAATCAGAGTGATAAGAGAGGGGGCAGATTTTGACAAACGAGCAATGGACAAGGAGGCAATAATGTTGCTTCGGCAAAAGGAAAGACTGAAAGTGAACACATATGGAGCACTGGTCTGGCAGGATGATGACAAAAATTGGGTGGCTGTGATCCCGAAAGACTGGTGGCGTAAGATGATACACAAATGCCATCAGGTAGCGCACACAGGTATCGCAAGAACGACAGATTTACTACGGTAAAGTGCATACTGGCCAGGCATGAGAGACGATGTGGCCCAATATGTGTTGACGTGCCAGCAGTGCCAATTAATGAAAAGCGATAGATACATGCAACCGCCATTGCAGTCGGTCCCAGTAACCGCAGTCGGTGATCTATGGTCGGTAGATGTGATGGGACCATTTCCACAGACGGATAGCGGCAACCGATACTTACTAGTAATGACGGAACATGCTACACGATGGGTCGACGCTGTACCGATTGCCGACCAGCGGGCGAAAACAGTGACCGAAGTAATAATCCGGCACATTGTAGCGGGTCATGGAGTACCGAAGATGATACTAACCGACCAGGGTCCCTGTTTTGAAAGTGACGAGTTTAAGGACCGTTTAAAGCAGTTCGGCATCAAGAGGATACGAACTACACCGTATCACCCTCAGACGAATGGGCTTACGGAAAGAAACAACCGGACATTAAAGGAATGGTTAGCATCTAAAGGAGGGAATTGGGAGAAAGAGTTACCACTAATTTTGCTGGCGCATCGTGCCTCCATCCAAAGAACAACTAAGAAATCACCTTTCCTACTTATGTATGGTAGACAGCCACGACTTCCGATGCATAATAAGACGTGGCCACAGCAGCAGAAGTGGACGGCAACAAGATTAAGGAAAGAGAGGACGGAGGCAATAAAGAACGTGAAAAAGAAACAAATATCAGACATCAAGAAGGCGGAACAGCAGAGAAGAGCATGGAAGCCTTTTACAGTGGGGGACCTGGTAAAGTGTAGAGAACGGGGAGCTAAAACTGAAGGGGGACCAGGGTCAGGAAAGCTGATCCCGAAATGGGAGGGACCGTACATTATCACTGAGAGACGCGGACCAGTTTACACGATCCGGAGAGAAGACAAGCAGAAGCGTTTAAATCCCAGTCAACTACAGAGATGGTTTCAAGAACATCATGAGCACGAGTCACGAACAGCACCAAAGGAGACAATGGTACGGCGATCAGAAAGATTGCGAGAACAGCTTATTAAAAGGGGGGACGAGTGTGGTGTGAGCTACTGATATCGACATAAGTAGTATATATGGTGAGTAAGGAATAGAATATCTGACAGCAGAAGATTGAGAAGATCATGAAGAGAAGAACAGAAATAAAAAGCAATTTGTGTGGAAATCCAGGAACAATAAAGCCTGAGGCAATTGAAGAACATTTTGCAAATAGTGTATCATAGCATGGCTTTTGTATTTTACCAAATAACGTTGTAATTTGTGCTAAATATGTAGTTGGTTGTCCTCACCTGTGTTCTCATTCACAACACTATGTCTGTATTGTGGTCCACTTATATCCATATAAGTAGTATATGGTGATGGTCAGATATTGAATGTATTTTGGTAGAATACCGATATGGAAAGAACTGAAATGAAGCGCAATTGGTAGGAAAATGCATGAACAATGAAATTAGAGAAGATGAACTGATATGTAAAGAAGAAACGGCGAAGATTGAGACAATTGGTTGTTATTTTGCAAATTAACTGTTTACTACTGTATGGTTATCAGAGTTTAGTGAGATAGTTTGTAATTTGTGCTTAAATACATTCGATTGTCCCCACCCGTGTTACTGTTCACCACATGTCAAACTTATATGTTATTCTCTAACTTCTTAATAGATCAGTTTATTCATACCTATCTTCCTTCCTATACTATATCCTTATATACAACCTTTCTTATATATATTACCACCATTAATTCAACTACTTCTATGAATCCAATGTTCATCTTGTTGTGTTAACGAGGTATGGCAACTTGGACCGATACATATATGTGCCTGGTCCTACGTTTTAGCTGACTGACTGACAGACTGAGTTTATTCATTGTTTTGAAGCAATATTCTGATCTTATCAATTATTCGCTTATTAACACTGACAATTTTTTATGTGATTTTATGTGTACATATTGCTTGCCCTATTCATCATGTGTCTATGACTTACTTTTATCTGAATTACATTTATCAGAAGGGGTTTTGTGGAGATTTAGTATTTTCATAGTTGAAAGCGTGAGTCAATTGAAGCTACACCACCAGGTGAAACCTGAAAGCACTAGACGGCCATTTCTTCCTATTACGGGGCTCCTCCTTGGCAGTGCACATCCACGATACCTCCTCACGAGATTCCAACCCAGGACTTACCAGTCTCGAGCCAGAGCCCTTAACCGATAGACCACTGAGCCGGCCGGCATCCAACGGTGTTAATGTCTAACTTCAACTGATCCACGAAGTTGAGCGACCGTTCACTAATTGTCTTCAGTGAGTTCCTATCTTACAACAGACGTGGTTTGAACTCCACTGGTCACTGCTTCTCACTAGAACTCCTAGATGTACTGCTTGAAGTCAGTCACTAGTGAGCATATGATTTTATTAATTATCAGAAGGGGTTTTGTGGAGATTTAGTATTTTCATAGACATTAACACCGTTGGATATCGGCCAGCTCAGTGGTCTATCGGTTAAGGGCTCTGGCTCGACACTGGTAGGTCCTGGGTTCGAATCTCGCGAGGCGGGATAGTGGATGCGCATTCCCAAGGAGGAGTCCCATAATAGAACGAAATGGCCTTCCAGTGCTTCTATGCTTTCCATGGTGGTGTAGCTTCTATTGACATACGCTTTAAACTGTGAATTACGTTTGATCAGAACGGGTTTCTTTACTCGCCTTCTCTGCTATGTGTCACTTCGTTTTCCCTGAATGTCTACGTAGATCAATGAGTCTATGGAATATATATGTATTCAAAATTCATTTATGTATTTGACTTATTGGTAAGACTATAATGTATGGACTAACTTTGAGCAACTCTAAAGTGACCATTAACATGTCCACCTATTAATTAGGACTAAATGAGGGTTATAAATCAGTGTGAGGAATTAGATTTATGATTTTCAGTTGATGATTAGAGATAATAATTAGATTTACGGTTTTCAACTCCTAACTGACATCAGCTAAAATGCCAAAACGTTATTTAACCAAATGGATGAATGAATTTCGCAAGAAAATCCATGACCTGCTATCTTGTTTCTGATTGGTTCGTCTCACCGAATTATATTATTCCATTATTCTTTATTACGGTTACCTAACTGAACATTCTTAAAATTAGATTTATTTCAGTTAAAATTTAGTATTTAAGTAGGAGATGTCATCTTTCCATAATCTTGAGCAAAGCTTCATCCATTGTCTTAAGTGGATAACTGTCTCACACCAGACACGGATTAGACTCCACTGGCCATGACTTCTCATTAGGACTCCGGGAGGTCCACCTTGAAGCTAAATACGAGTGATCATATGATTATTATCAAAATGGAGATTTTTAGAGATTGTAGTGATTTTAACGGTTGAATTGGTATATCTATCTAAGCTAGATCACCATTGAAAACCTCGAAGAACTGGAAGGCTGTTTCGTCTCAGTATGAATCTCCAGCAAAGCGCATCCGCGTTTTTTTGTGGGGGATTTGAACCAAGGACCTTCGGCCTCGCGTACGAGTGCTCATCATTTGATATCCAACGGTGTTAATGTCTAAGTTCGCTCGATCCATGATATTATCTTTGTTGGGGTAAAAGCCAAGTAATAGGTAATATCATTGGATGATTAGAAATATTTAGAAGAATTCCCTGTTGGACCTAGGTTTTGTGAAAGATGGAACTGGTCAGTAAGGTGCACACCTAAAATATTTAAAAAATTTATGTTCTCTGTGAGGTTCAAAACCATGCCAACAAGTCTTCAAGTTTAAGACCTTACGTTTGAGTTTCTTTTTAGTAGCGAATATTTGACTTATGAGTGTTAACCAATCTTGTGTTTTCCTAGTCTATAGTTGCGATCAAATTATTTCGATGAAGTTGTAATGTGGCTACGGTTCTGAGTGACACAACATTCTCTAAAACACATTTTAATGTTAGATGGTTGGAAATAGTAAGGATGAAACTTTGAACCTTATTTTTGTTTTCATTGGTATCCAACCATCAGAGTAGTAATCGTATTACAATATGGTTAGTAATATCAGCTTAGCAATAAAGATTATGTAGATATGATGTTGAAGTCGATGACACGATTAGGACTAGAACGTGGTATCTTTGCCTTCCAAATTCAGCTTATTGTACATTTAGCTATTAAATTGGATTTGTTAATAGCCTGTGTAATGGGTATGAGTTTATATTAATGTTGAAGAGGGCAGAATAGGATTAAATGAAAGTCCTTGATTCCTCCAATAGACACTAAACTACCTGAGTAGAAAACATGCAACGACACTACAATACCGAAGCAATTCGCTCTGGATGCAAATATGCCACTAGTGACTAATCAATCTCCATTCATTACAATTATAATAACAGGAAAAACATATAACTTCATACAAATCACAAATCTGTCTATTTTCTTCAAACCTTATGTATCATTCTTCATCTTCATATACCTTTCTTCCACATTATGTACACATTTATTCATTATTTACTCACTTATGCCTGCTACTCCCAATGGAGCATAGGCCGCCGACCAGCTTTCTCCAACCCACTCAGTCCTGGGACTTCTTTTCTAGTTCTATCCAGTTCTTGTTCATTCTTCTCATGTCCGTCTCTATTTCTCGGAAAATGTTTTCTTTGGTCTTCCTCTTCTCCTTTAGCCCTCAAGATTCCATATGAAGGCTTGTCTTGTGACGCAGTTGGGTGATTTCCTCGAAGTGTGCTCAATCCACTTCCAGCGCTTCTTCCTGGTTTCTTCCCCCTCTGGATGGAATCTGGTTTGTTGTCTCTCACAGTATTTTGTTGCCGATAGTGTCTGGTCAACGGATCCCAAGTGTATTGAGTAGACAACAGTTAATAAACACTTGTACCTTATGGATAACGGCTTTCGTGGTTTTCCACGTCTCCACTCTATAAAGTAGATTTGTCTTGACGTTTGTATTGAAAATTCTAACCTTGGTGTTGGTTGACAATTGTTTTAAGTTCCAGATGTTTTTCAGTTGTAAATATGCTGCTACTGCTCTGCCGATCCTCGCCCTCACATCTGCATCAGATCCACCGTGTTCATCGATGATGCTTCCCAGATATGTAAAGGTTTTCACATCCCCCAAAGCTTCTCCGTCAAATGTAATTAGTCACATTTATTCATATTGAAACAAAAAAATGTTGATGCATTTTAACTACCATGAAATCTAGATTAAAGGTTTACTCCTAATCGCTTCCAACGTCGTGGAATGAAATCAGTCAGTTAGTTACTTTATTTGTCCATCAGTCAATTTCATTGACAAACTTACCTCAAGTATATAATCACCTGGAGCAAGTCCAGCTTTTTCTGCTTTACTATTTGGTTGAACGGTTAAAATACTTTGACTGGGTAAATTGTTAGCAATAAATGAACGTTCTTTGAAATCTATGTAAAAGAGAGGAAGAGAATATTTTAGTGGCTTACATGTATTTTGCCCATACAGTGATCTGTAAACTACAAGGTTCAATAATATGTAGTGATGTAGTGGGTAGGCGCTCGTGATAGATAATAAACTAGAATGAATCGAATGTTAAGCCTTCTTCAAGTTCTCGAAAATTCCTCATCTGATTTCAACATATAATAAGAATTCATTTAGTATTGTTTGTTTGGATCTTACCATTGATGTTTTAAGAATGAAACTGGTCAGTCTCTAATTGGTATATGTGCAAACTGTGCGTATTGCCTCGATATTGTCTTAATTCACAAGCATCATAAGCAAAGATCGATAGTGACGAGACATTCTTCATGTCTCTATCTTTTTTTCTCTTTCCAAATTTATTTCACTGGATTATACTCCTTCAATAACATCTTCAACCCCTAATCTTTCAGATTACAGCTTATACTCTTACTACTTCTACCACTATGGGATTTGAATCGACAAATGAATTTCTATGCTAATGTGGTATGATAACTCAAGCTGATGTACGTACATATGAAGTTCTACGTTGTGACTGACTGACTGATATAAAATGAGAAAACTTAAAAAAAACCAACTTTCAGTTAATTAATATCATTCTTTCAAAGGATTATTTACTTACTATCTGATCCTTGCATAATAAAACCGTAACCAGTTGTTCCACGTTCCAAAATGATTGAACGTAAACAATAATTTGGATAACGTTGTCTAAAAGCATTACAAACAATAGGCAACTATATATATCAGTGATATATATATATGACACAGTACACTAATAAACAATTGAATCCAAACTACTAAACATAAAGTAATCATGGCAGTTACTGTGCTTCATACCATCTAATTGATTAGAGTAAAGAATTCATAGTGTATTGTGACTAATCCTTGTCTTGTAGATAAAATACATCACTCTCTAAGTAAACATTAAGATGGATCCAAATCAATAAAGTTAGCATATTTTCATCAATTTCAACTTATAATCGTATGGCGGTCTGCTTGAACATCTGAGCTACCTGTTCCTCCCATCTAAATGTTTTAAACACTTGTCCCAATTTTGTTTGTTTTAATACATCATTACGGTTATTCGTCGAGTAGCCTATTTATGTATGTTTCTGAAAAGTGTACAACCTTTCTTTGTACAAGTTACAAAATACCTAATCAGAGATATCGTGATTGTTGGCAATATACAGCGATAAGAATGTACATTATTTATATGACGAATTATTGGACTGTCAACTTCTAACTAGCGATCACTCAGTCACAAAAACCCTCTCAGCCTAGACCATATAACTTCAATATTGTTTGTGTGTACTCCGGTTGTATAAGTTTATCATTTTCATTATGGATATGTTTCTACAATACACATACCACTGAACAGCCGAAGTTTCACTAACATCTGCCATTATTGCAGCCAATAATACTGGTGTTTTTATTATACAGTTGGCGGAAATTGTTATAATATGCCTTAGTCTCAATCTGGATCATGCGATAAAGGTTCCTATTCTAGCAAACGTTTTCCTTCAACATATATTACATCGAAGTACAACATCACAGAAGTCTGCACAAGGTCTACAAGTCATTGAATACCCTCAATTACAAAATACAGCAACTTCTTATTAGTCTCATTCGTTGTAGCCGCTTAATTGTCACGTCTTCTCTGTAATTCTCTGTGAACCGATTGTACATGAGCATCAGGTACTGGAATCGGCGCCGTGATCTTGAAATCCCTCGAACGCTTCTGATTGTCTCGTCCATAAATTATAGTCTCGCCGACAACCGTTTCATCCTAGTACGGGACTTCTTAGCAATGTGACCATATATTTTTATATCCAGTTTGACTAGAAGTTTCTTAAAATTAACCGTTTAAATATATAAATTCCAATGACTATCCGATTATAAGGAAACTTGAGAAGCACTAGACATATAATTTATTCTAGTTTATGATCTATCACTGGAAAGGAAGGTTCAGGACAGTGTTGGATGGAGAATACTGGTGAGCGGCCTATGCTCCTCGACGAGGGGTAACAGACGTAAGTAAGTAAGTAAGTAAGTAAGCTATGATCTATCACCAGCGCCCACAAATGACAAATCTTCAGAAGTTATTATTCATTAAAAATTGTTTTGATCTTAATATAAAGAATCCAAGTAACTATTCAGTCAGTATATACAAAAGGGAGTTCATTTGTTTTATTCAATGAAGCATTTTAAATATAATAATAATTATGTAGATTATGGAAAAAATCATAATACTACTACTAATAATTATAATAGTAGTACAATACTACCTTATGAAATTTAATCGTCGAGAAAATTTGGGAATACCTAGAATAAATCAATGAAAAAAAGAAAATTATTCAATAAATGATCAGATTCAGCTTTATAAATATCAGTGACATAATTTTGATCGTGTCATGTCCCCTGAGCTAAAATAACTCAATTATGAAGCTTTCATTTAGCCACTATCCATCTCTGCTAACCATGCTTGTGAATTAAGGTATATCGAGGCAATACGCACAGTATGCACATATCCCAATTAGAGATTGACCAGTTGCAGTCCTAACAAATCGATGGGAAGATTTAAACAAACAATACTAAGTTGAATTTAAACTTCACCCCATCGCACAAGCAAGTGGCTATCAGGACTCAGTGACCGAGTGGATAACGCGATGGCGTTTGAAGCGAGGGTACTGGGTTCGAGTCCCAGAATGAACATCAACTCTGAGATGAAGGTACATCCAGCTAACGAGTCCCAAATAGGACGAAACGCGCGTCCTGGATTCCACTGCTAGCCACTATCCATCTCTGCTTTCATTTTTATAGTTGAAATCATGAGTCAATTGAAGTGAGACTATCATGGGAAACCTGGAAGCCCTGGACGGTAGTTTCGTCCTACTGTGGGACTGCTCAGTGACAGTGCGCATGCAAGATCCCGCCTCGCGAGGTTCCAACCCACGACCTATCAGTTTCGCGCACGCGTGCGCTTAACCACTAGACCACTGAGTGGACCAGCATCCAACAGTGTTAATATCTAACTTTAACCAATCCATGAAGTTGAGCAACTATTCACTATTGTCTTCAGTGAGTTTATATCTTAGTTAATATTTTAGTTTAACACTAATTTACAATGTTCATATACATAGTCAAGGATCAAATTCAGTGCCTACCTACTACATTGTATGATATTTTTAGACTACTATTAAATTGATATCTAATAAATTCATATTCAATACTAGTTATTCAAAGGTTGTTTAGAAATCATTCAATATCTTTCTTCAATTAAATGAGAAAGCTTTAAGGTAATCTGTTAATTCTAACCATATATATACTCAGACTTTCTTCTATACAAACAAAACTGTCCAATTTAACTTATAATGGTAAAGTAACTATCAACTCAACCATATTCACATATCACATATGAAGTTCAGTTATAAATCTCGATAGTAAGTATATGGTCACCAGATAGGAACATATTAAATGTAGATTTTATAAGTAGTCAGTGTGTTACATCCTGGTGAAGACATAAGTATAGGTAACTTCCGGGACCTATTAATGAACGATTATTCTAAATATATATATTCTTATTCTTTAATTATTGAGTCATTAGATTGTCTATATCTATATTCATCTTATTATAAGGTTCATTTTGACCTATGAATTATTACTGTACGATTTACTGTTCCTAAATTATATTTAGTTTATTGATTATTGTATCCCATGTTCACAGCCACATTTGGCTTGATCTTGTACAAATATTCTATTCTATTTCATAGTGTGATGCGGTCTGTCTGTCTGGTATATAAACCGAGTATACTTGAAATAAATGATTCGTATAGAAGAAGCTGTAATTGGTGTTGTGGATTCAATTGGGAGGGCTAGACGGATAAAGGACCAATAAGGACACTAGGCTACTAATACCAGTTGAACGTCATTAATTTGGCACAGTGTTAAGATTAGACAAGTCGTATTTTGATTGGTGGATAATTCACGTGAGAAAAAGCAGGTCATAAAACCATAACGAATCGGCAATGGTCTTCATTTATAAAGTCACAACACGTTGTATTCTATCAAAAAATATTTAAATTGGTAGGCTTCTTGAATTTAACAAAACAAGATTTCACTAGAAGTTTCCGTAACAAATGAATATTAACCGGTGTCATATCAAACACCTGGAAACGTTGGACAGCTGTTTTATTTTAGTAATGAAATCTTATGCACAACCTCAACAGAGATAGAACTTAGGGTCATTAAGTTTTATGACCAGAGGATATCGATGGAAATAAAGATTATTTACAACAGATTTACGGCCGAGAGTGGGGAGAGTCCGCTCTCCCTCTCGAAATGCTCTCACATTGCCACACGTATATAGCCTCTGCCAAGGAAGTTCTACTCACTGCATTCTCGCGACGGGAGTGTTGTTTACGAAATTGAGAAGACGAAAAGCGAATGTCCGACGCTTTAACCGGGTTGGTGGACAAGGCGAGTCCACCTAGGGGAGTTGGAAAACCCTGATTACAAACCAATGGTGCACATGGGCTCCGGTATCCTGAGGGAACAAATGGCGTATGAATCAATCGTCGGTCATGGGACTACATCTCCTTACGATGCTCCACTGCCTTGTGGATCAGATCTGTAGGTCGAAGGCTAGGGGTGTGACTCCCTAAGTAAACCACCTGCTTCAGTTTGGGCACCCGTGCAGTATCACAGCCCTCCTACGAATCAAATGAAATGTGTGTTGCGCATATATATCTGGTGCTCATTTGTAAATAAACAACAGATTTAAAGCTAACCATCGGTTATATTTATGTCTGATACGAATCATCATATGTGCATTACATTACTAGAAGTGCAATTATATGTATTATACTACTTACCTTGTAAATTATTATGATTATAAATTGTTCCTCCATAATTATCATTGTCATTACTATAAGTCATTTGTCGTCGAATAGATAATGAAGGCCTGTTGTTGTTGCTGCTGTTGCTAATATTGTTATTGTTCATAGTACCCTCTCTTTTATCGACACTATTACGTCGAACAATATCTGGAGTACGAAAATCAACTTTATTATGAAATACATATTGATTGATTCGTTTTGGTGTAATTTGTCTTAAATCATTCATATCAAATGATAAACATCTTTGATTAGGAGTTGGAGGTAATTCTCTATCGACTGACATAGCTTTACTTGGTTTACGGGTACTTGTTGGGTTACTGTTATTATTATTATTACCATTATTATTATTGTTATATTGAGGAAAGTGAACACTGTCGTACACTGCTCTTGGACCATGAATTGTCGGTCGTCTATCTTTATTGTATACAGGTTTTTGATCGATTCCCTCTAGATCATAAATAAATAGGCAAATCAGTTATTAAAAAAAAAACGAAATTGAATAATAGAAACGCTAATATGTAGGAATAGAACATCGGACTATCGTTTTTGAACATTATGTTGAATCGAATATTCAACGAGAATGGAACTTCCATAACGATTCAAGCAAAACCAAATCATTAACGGACTCTACGATCAAATATTATTGATCATATGAGTAATTATAACAAATTGAATATGAACCAGTGCAAGTTATATATATATGCTTGAAGAAGACCCTCATCCATTTGATATCACGGTATTCATCAGCTAGAGGCCGTCCTGAAGTTACAGTCATCTTACAAATTGTTTTAAAAATTCCTTCCAATAATATTGACAGTAAAGTACAAATATTATTTCTTAAACATGTAATTATCATCATCATCATCATCATCATCATCATCATCATCATCATCATCATCATCATCATCATCATCATCATCATCATTATCATCATCATCATCATCAAAGTATCGAGAATTCATTTAAACAAAGCTACAAAACAACAATACTCATTGCCTTAAATCGCAATGTGATACCTATATTTAATTTTATTTATTTAAGTATATAAACATTGATACAAAGAAGCATCAAATCTATATGAGCTTTAGTTATTTCAACACATAAACATTGGTACAAGAGGGTACCAGATATATATGAGTTACACAAATCAAATGAGATTTGTGTGAGGGCTGTGATACTACCCAAGTACCCCAACTGAAGCAAATGGTTCTCTTAGTCAACCACACCTGGAGTCTTTGACCTAAAGGTCTGATCCACAAGGCAGTGCAGTGGAGCATCGTAAGGAGATGCAGTCCCATGGTAACCGGTGACTGACGATTGATTCACACGCCATTTGCTCTCTCAGGATATTGGAGCCACCCCACGTGCACCATTGGTTTGGAATCAGGTTTTCCAACTCCTCTAGGTGAACTTCCCGTGTCGATCAACCCGGTTGAAGCGCCGGACATTCACTTTTCATCTACTCAATTTCATAAAACAAAATCCTCACTATGAAATGGATTGTCTTTATTTGTATTAATGTATTTATAAATTTAGAGATCTCAAAGAAGGAAAAAAACTGATCAAAAGAAGAAATGTTCCTGAGAGTCAACTAGTTTTGGTATATTACATTGAATTTGTATTACCTCCAGAAGAATTTAAAAATATGTGTGATAGAAAATGTAACAAAATGAGTAAAAGGAATGAATGTTTAGTTGTTTTTTTTCAAATTAAGTTCCTTAAAATCTATGATGTGAATGAAAGTAAACTTTTCACAGATATAATCGCCGGATACTCAATAAATAGGGAACCTGAAGTAGAGAAACCTTTTGTATCTCGTGGAGAATTATGATTGGTAACGTTTGAGAACTATTTATAGACCAATATGATATGTATATTTCCTATTGTATAATTGTTAAGTAAATTAATTATTCATATTCGTGATAAGCTTTATTTTGACCTAAAAACTATTCCTGCTCGATTTGCCATTCCTGAGTTATACTCAGTCTATTAATTACTGTTCCCCCTATTCACAGCCACATTTGGCTAATTCTTGTACAAATGTGTATTTTCTATTTTATGGTACGATGTGGTTAGTTTGATTGGTATATAAACTCAGTATGTTGAAGAATAATGATTTATATCACAGAGACTGTTATTAGTGTTCTGGACGTAACTTACTGGGCTATATGGGAAGCAGAACCGATATAGACTCTAAACTGCTTGTCCAGGTTTCGTGTATCATTGCTCTTGTCGATAATTCGCTCCTTTCTGATTGTCGGTTTTCATCACGTCATACATTAACTGGTCATCCATTTGGCCATAAGATATTATAACAGAAACCTTAAGTCATTCAAAATACTTACTCGGGTAACATGGTGGTTGGAGGTGGTCAACAGGAAACCCTGGACCCGGGTTTCGTGCTACTTGGCACTCGTCAGCAAGGTGTACCTGTAATCCTGAGGGAACTGATGCTCCCTGGCGGATTCGATCCCGCGTCACTCAGCTTCACAGTCAGAGACGTTACCACTGAGCTATTCGGGCCGCGACCGACCTCCTGTAGGACTGAGATCTAATCACAATTGATTGATCACTGGGTGGTGATCAATCTCATGCGTGTCAGGTCCTTAGTGCTGATCGAATGCTATCGATCAAGTTGCAATGTGGCCACCAGTCTAGGTGGCTCGACACTGCGGGCACTATATATATTAGGGTAACATGGTGGTTGGAGGTGGTCAACAGGAAACCCTGGACCCGGGTTTCGTGCTACTTGGCACTCGTCAGCAAGGTGTACCTGTAATCCTGAGGGAACTGATGCTCCCTGGCGGATTCGATCCCGCGTCACTCAGCTTCACAGTCAGAGACGTTACCACTGAGCTATTCGGGCCGCGACCGACCTCCTGTAGGACTGAGATCTAATCACAATTGATTGATCACTGGGTGGTGATCAATCTCATGCGTGTCAGGTCCTTAGTGCTGATCGAATGCTATCGATCAAGTTGCAATGTGGCCACCAGTCTAGGTGGCTCGACACTGCGGGCACTATATATATTAGGGTAACATGGTGGTTGGAGGTGGTCAACAGGAAACCCTGGACCCGGGTTTCGTGCTACTTGGCACTCGTCAGCAAGGTGTACCTGTAATCCTGAGGGAACTGATGCTCCCTGGCGGATTCGATCCCGCGTCACTCAGCTTCACAGTCAGAGACGTTACCACTGAGCTATTCGGGCCGCGACCGACCTCCTGTAGGACTGAGATCTAATCACAATTGATTGATCACTGGGTGGTGATCAATCTCATGCGTGTCAGGTCCTTAGTGCTGATCGAATGCTATCGATCAAGTTGCAATGTGGCCACCAGTCTAGGTGGCTCGACACTGCGGGCACTATATATATTAGGGTAACATGGTGGTTGGAGGTGGTCAACAGGAAACCCTGGACCCGGGTTTCGTGCTACTTGGCACTCGTCAGCAAGGTGTACCTGTAATCCTGAGGGAACTGATGCTCCCTGGCGGATTCGATCCCGCGTCACTCAGCTTCACAGTCAGAGACGTTACCACTGAGCTATTCGGGCCGCGACCGACCTCCTGTAGGACTGAGATCTAATCACAATTGATTGATCACTGGGTGGTGATCAATCTCATGCGTGTCAGGTCCTTAGTGCTGATCGAATGCTATCGATCAAGTTGCAATGTGGCCACCAGTCTAGGTGGCTCGACACTGCGGGCACTATATATATTAGGGTAACATGGTGGTTGGAGGTGGTCAACAGGAAACCCTGGACCCGGGTTTCGTGCTACTTGGCACTCGTCAGCAAGGTGTACCTGTAATCCTGAGGGAACTGATGCTCCCTGGCGAAACCCGGGTCCAGGGTTTCCTGTTGACCACCTCCAACCACCATGTTACCCTAATATATATAGTGCCCGCAGTGTCGAGCCACCTAGACTGGTGGCCACATTGCAACTTGATCGATAGCATTCGATCAGCACTAAGGACCTGACACGCATGAGATTGATCACCACCCAGTGATCAATCAATTGTGATTAGATCTCAGTCCTACAGGAGGTCGGTCGCGGCCCGAATAGCTCAGTGGTAACGTCTCTGACTGTGAAGCTGAGTGACGCGGGATCGAATCCGCCAGGGAGCATCAGTTCCCTCAGGATTACAGGTACACCTTGCTGACGAGTGCCAAGTAGCACGAAACCCGGGTCCAGGGTTTCCTGTTGACCACCTCCAACCACCATGTTACCCTAATATATATAGTGCCCGCAGTGTCGAGCCACCTAGACTGGTGGCCACATTGCAACTTGATCGATAGCATTCGATCAGCACTAAGGACCTGACACGCATGAGATTGATCACCACCCAGTGATCAATCAATTGTGATTAGATCTCAGTCCTACAGGAGGTCGGTCGCGGCCCGAATAGCTCAGTGGTAACGTCTCTGACTGTGAAGCTGAGTGACGCGGGATCGAATCCGCCAGGGAGCATCAGTTCCCTCAGGATTACAGGTACACCTTGCTGACGAGTGCCAAGTAGCACGAAACCCGGGTCCAGGGTTTCCGGTTGACCACCTCCAACCACCATGTTACCCTAATATATATAGTGCCCGCAGTGTCGAGCCACCTAGACTGGTGGCCACATTGCAACTTGATCGATAGCATTCGATCAGCACTAAGGACCTGACACGCATGAGATTGATCACCACCCAGTGATCAATCAATTGTGATTAGATCTCAGTCCTACAGGAGGTCGGTCGCGGCCCGAATAGCTCAGTGGTAACGTCTCTGACTGTGAAGCTGAGTGACGCGGGATCGAATCCGCCAGGGAGCATCAGTTCCCTCAGGATTACAGGTACACCTTGCTGACGAGTGCCAAGTAGCACGAAACCCGGGTCCAGGGTTTCCGGTTGACCACCTCCAACCACCATGTTACCCTAATATATATAGTGCCCGCAGTGTCGAGCCACCTAGACTGGTGGCCACATTGCAACTTGATCGATAGCATTCGATCAGCACTAAGGACCTGACACGCATGAGATTGATCACCACCCAGTGATCAATCAATTGTGATTAAAATACTTATTCAAAAATAATTTTCACTTTAACCCGGTTCAACAGAAGTCGTTAACTATGATTACTTCTAACATGATTTATGTGTATGACATAAACTCCTTTCTGATATGATAGAGTTTATTATAAGAAAATCATTTCACTGATTACGTAATCCAATCATTTACCAATTCATTAATGAAGTTAATTGCCACTTATTTACGTCGACTAATGGTTTGGCCACTAATAGTTATGAATATTAATAACTATAACCCCCAATTAGTTTATTTAACGATATTTTCAACATAAAATATACATTGGTCTTAATTATTATAATTTATATCTCAATTCGTATCATTTTCTTGGACCATCTACTTCACTTTCCTTGACTAACTTACTTACTTATGCCTGTTGCCCATAATGAAACATAGGCCGCCGGCGAGCATTCTCCAACTAACTCTATCCCGTGTTTTCCTTTCTAATTCTATCCAATTGTTGTCCATTTTTCTCATGTCTGTCTCCATTTCTCGTCGTAATGTGTTCTTTGGTCTTCCTCTTTTCCTTTCACTTTCAGGATTCCATGTGTGGGCTTGGGTAATGATTCAGTTTGGTGATTTCCTCAATGTGTGTCCTATCTACTTACACCACTTCTTCCTGATTTCTTCCTCAGTTGGAATTTGGTTCGTACTCTCCCACAGTAGGTTACTGCTGATAGTGTCTGTCCAAGGGAACCGAAGTAACTTGCGTAGACACTTGTATCTTTTGGATGATAGCTTTCGTAGTTTTCCAAGTTTCCTCCCCGTACAGTAAAACTATCTTGACATTTGTATTGAAAATTCTAATCTTGATGTTAGTTGACAATTATTTTGAGTTCCAGATGTTCTTCAGTTGTAAATATGCTGTTCTTGCTTAGCCGATCCTTCCTTGACTAAATTATGTTTAATATTTGTTTGTAATCACTATCGATTTTAAAGAATATCAACAGTTTGTGGTCATCATAAAAGATTCCTTACAGAATATACTGATTGGATCATTTTATTTTGAAGGAATCTTATTATCCTTAGTTCGTTCAAAGTTTAATTTCATTTTCACATTATGAATACCTTATCAGATTATAATAATAATGACAGCATTCAGAACTATGAAAAGTAGTTACTTGTTTTGTATATGGTAAACATTAACATGTTATGTAATTTGAACTGTTTACTATTTGAATTCACTTGCGATTGTTTCTTTGTATCTTTTTATTGATGTTAAGGACTACAACTGGTCAGTCTCTAATTGACATAGGTGCATACTTTGCGTATTGCCTCGATATAGTCTTAATTCACAAGCATTATAAGCAAAGATAGACAGTGGCTAGCAGTGGAATCCAGTTTGACATGCGTTTCATCCTATTTGGGACTCGACAGATGGATGTACCTGCATCTCAGAGTTGATGTTCACTCTGAGACTCGAACCTAATAGTGTTCGCTTCAAACCCCATCACGTTATTCATTCAGTTACTGAATCCTGATAGTCACTTGCTTATGTAAGTGGCTAAAGGTATCAAGTTGAAGTCACAGACTATATATCAACTCTAAGATGCAGTTACATCCAGCTGTCGAGTCCTAAATAAGACGAAACGAGCATCCTTGATTCAATTTATTACCAAGATATACCTAGAATCTAGATGAAACTGATACCTTTAAAAAAGATAAAATCTACTTACCAATTAAATTTTCATCAAAATTTTGTAAAATTTTAGCTAAATTCATACGTTCAATAAGTATAGCTAATTCATATGGTGTTTGTCCAGATGAATTAATTATTGTTGGTGATGCACCATAACGTAATAATAATAATAAACATTCCATTTCATCAGCTAATACACATAAATGTAATGGTGTATTATGATTTTCAACTTGAGCATTTAAATCAGCTCCATAAATAATTAATTGTTTTAATGTTTTACTACGACCATTTAAACAAGCCTTGATGAATGAAATAAATAAAAATGAACATTTTTTTAAAAACGTTTACTTAAATACTTTTCAGTAGTATAATAATAAAACAGAAATATTTTATATGGTTGAGGTCATGAATCAATTGAAGTGAGACCCATCATGGAAAACCTGAAAGCACTGCAAGGCCGTTTAGTCCTTCTGTGGAACTCCTCAGTAAAACGAAATGGCCATCCAGTGCTTTCAGGTTTTCCATGGTTGTCTAGCTTCAATTGACTCATAATCTCAACTGTATGAAATTACTATAATAACCACAAAACCACGTCTGAGAAATCTTTTAGTTAATTGTTTATAAAAGAAAATGTAATTCAATTTTCAGATAATTTTTATTTTGAATTAGTAATATGTATAAAGCCATTGAAATTTAGAATATTCTGAACAATTGATTTCATATAACTCCGCCTCTGTAGCCCCCGCCGGGGGTTACTGCCGCTCTCAAGCCTGGATAAAGGAGGAGGGTTGGGCATAGGGTTAGCGACCCCAGCTCGTAGAAAACTAACTCGTTGAAAAAAACGCCAAACGCCAGTAGCGTCACTAATTATAGATCTGTTTTTTTAATGTCGATATAATTAAAGTTGAACAGTTCGACAATTAACGGATTCATCTATTGAGATCTTATAAATACTCTTGGATCAGCTGATTATATAGATAAGGTCTCGGAATAAAATTTTTGTGAAAGTTATAAATGATCATTAGGTTTGGATTCGCTTGGTATTGTTTACTTGAATCCTTCCATTGATATATAGGACTACAATTGATCAGTCTCTTGTTGGCATATGTGCATCTTGTGCGGATTGTCTCCATTTTGCCTTAATTCATAAGCATTCTAAAAAACGATGGATAGTGGATAGCAGTAGAATCCAGTTGGATATGCGTTTCGTCCTATTTGAAATTCATCAGCTGGATGTGCCTGCAACATCACCCTATCGCACAGGAATGTGCCTGTTAGGACTCAATAGCTAAGTGGATAACTTATTGACGTTTAAGCGGACATTACTAGGTTCGAGTCTCAGAGTAAAGATCAACTCTGAGATGCATATAAATCCGGCTGACGAGTATTCAATAGGACGAAACGCGCATCCTGAATTTCATTTCTAGGCACTATCAATCTTTCTTTACCATAATTATTAGATTTTGTCTATAGAAATGAGATAAAAGCTTTGCTTATGAAATTTGATTTCTTTCAATAAAGTACATATGCGTCAGTATAGAGATAATGAATTTCAAGAATAATTTACAAATAAGAAGAAATGTATAAAGCTACTCTATCCATACTTTCAATTTACTTTAAGCAAAGATGGATAGTGTCTAGCGGTGGAATCCGCGATGAACTGGATGTACCTGCATCTCAGAGTTGATCTTCACTCTGGGACTCGAACCCTGCATCTTTCGCTTCAAACGCCATCGCGTTATCCATTCGACCACTGAATCCTGATAGCTACTTGCTTGTGCGATGAGGTGAAGTACCTTTGCTCACCATGCTTGTGAAATAAGGCTATATCGAGGCAATACGCACAGTATGCACATAAGCCAATTAGAGACTGATCAGTTGCAATCCTAATACATCAATGTGAAGATTCAAACAAACTATACTAAACGAATTTATATATCAGGATAAGTATACAGAACTATAAAATTAACCAATTGTATCCCCCTTAATATTATAAAAAACACACAGGATAAATCAAACCTTTCGCAATTCACAATCAACACTTACTTGATGAATTTCTTGTCTACCTTTATCATCGGTTACACCAAGTATAGCATGATCATATAGTAAACGTTGAATACATTCTGGTCGAATATCTTCTGAACAAGCATAATATAATGGTGTTAAATCATTTTTATCACGTACATTAGGATTTTGTCCTAGTTCTAAAAATACCTTCATTATGAAAAAGAAAAAAATGGAAAATACTATGAATTACTGTTTACATTTAATACAATCAAAATATTAATTGATTTGAATTCTGACCGTAGAAACACCACCAGTAGCTCCTCCGCGGTAGGGGGGTTAATGCCGGTCCCAAGTCCGGATAGAGGAGGAGGGTTGGGCATGGAGTTAGAGACCCCATCCCGTAGAAAACTAACTCGCTAAAACAAAGCGCTAACCAACAAAATTTATTCTAATTGTAGAAACTTGTATTCTGTGGCAATCACTACTAATCTTAGGATCTAGTTTAGTGTATGCTACTGATGTCGACAGATATAAGTAGTATGTATCACTAATCTAAAGTGAAATGTTTGAAGGTACAAGGTTAAGAAGATCAAAGAAAAGAGAATAAGAACAAAGAATGAGTGTTATGGATACGAAATAATAATGAAGTGTGAGACGATGGACTGATATTTGCAAAAGGAATAGTCAAGTTGGAGACAAATGATTGACATTTTGTAAATGAAGTATTTACAGTATGGTTCTCAGATTTTACAAAGATGTTCTGTAATTTTATGTTCAAATACATTTGATTGTCTCCACTTAAGTCCCCATTCATGACAATAGTAATAATATAGATAGATTGTCGATTAACACAACCTAATGTTGGAAATAGTGTCTCAGTTTCTATTACCACCTAGTTTCACAAGCTGCAAAGTATAGTTAATATCATAGGTATTTCGCTTTCCTTAGCAATATGAACCAATGACTCCTTCAACGATTGAACCGAGTATTTATGCGTGTTGCTCTAAGCCTTTAAATTTTCGAGGGATTATTCGACATCTAATAGTTTACATATCCAACGTCAGCCAGTACATGATTAAGCGAGATCATTAACCACTATTATTCATGATACATTTCTCTTCTCCAACGGAGCTCAAACTAACTGGTCATGGCTAGTGATCATAACTATTGGAATTATGTAAAATACACAGGATAAGTGAAGAACTCTGTTAAGGAAGAATTTTTTCAGGCTGGTAGCATTTTGATCGAGAATTCATTTTGATGGTCGTTACATGACTACTGAAATCTAAACCATTAGTCGTTTTATTAATGTTTGTATTGGTTATTTGAATCTTCTCATTGATATTTAGGAGTCCAATTGATCAGTCTCTTATTAACGTATGTAGATCCTGTGCGAATTGTCTCAATATTGTATTAAGTCACAAACATTATAAACATTTCGAGTTTCGAAATAAACATCAGCTATGGGGTAAAGGTACCATCCAGCCGAATAGTCACAAATAAAAAAACGCGTTTTGTGGTTTGCATTGCTAGCCATCTTTGCTTGTAATTGTAAGGATGGCTCGTTAGAAACCTCAAGTAAGCCTCAAGAAGCCCAGAAGGAGCCGGAGACATTCCATCCAATCACCGCTAAAGGAACATTCTAGAATGTCAACGTGTAGCTCCGCTATAGGATGAATAAGAAGACCCCCCTATGTGCCCATTGGATGTCCGAAATGATGATTTACTTTCAGCCAAAAACTACGAATGCATGAGATTTTTGCACTATATTTGACATTGTTTGGAATAACATTCCTACTTACTAGTGTGCTGTTTCCTCATTTTGTGACTTCAGAGGGTTCTAGCGTTCGAGTGCTCAAGTGTTACGCCACATACTAAGAATCTAAATTCCAGATATAACAGTAAACATTAGTTATTTTAGTGGATATCATTTCTTCATGCGACAAACTCGTATGAATAACCAATTGAATTTTAATGAAAATATATCTGTCATAAAGAATTAAGATAGTAGATTGAAATAGAGCTTTAAAAGGAGGTTTCTAAGAGAGGGTATCAGTTTCCTGAAGACTATGAGTACTAACTAGAATGAGAATGAATCTGAAACTAAAAACATTATCCATATGTTATCGAGATATTTGAAGACTAGTAGAACTGCTGTCACTTGTTCGATAGAACTGTATTGTATTAATACACTTTAACTATGCAACTCAGAAAACAAAACATTATCATAATTACACAAATGAGCTATAAATCTTTTGCACAATATCAAGATAGTAGTTTCTTATTTACCCATTTACTTACTTACTTACCTAATTACTCACTTACTTAGGCCTGTTACTCCTCATGAAGGAGCATAGGCCTCTCACTAGCAATCTCCATCCAACACTATCCTGGACAATCCTACACACTTGTTTCCAGTTACTATTAAACCTTTTGATGTCTGACTCTAATTCTTGACACGTTGAGTTCTTCACCCTTTCTCTTTTCCATTTCCCTTCAGGATTCCAAGTAGGAGCTTGTTTCAGGATGCAATTTGATGATTTTCCCAACCCTACAGCTCTTCTACGGCTACCGCCACTCCCAAGCTCGGGTTAAGGAGGAGGGTTGAGCATAGAGTCGACAACCCCATCCCAGAAAACACAACCTTCCTAAACAAAAGCTAACCAATTTCTTACTTAGTTTAAGAAATTTTCTCAGATTCTGCCATGAATTAGAAAAAGAATTAATAAACCAAGAGAGGTACTGATGTAAGCTGATCACAATTCTAAATCATACACAATTTAATTGTGAATTGTTGTATATCAAATAGTTGAAAGCGTGATTTAATTGAAGCTAGACCACCAGGGGAAACCTGGGAGCACTGGACCGCCGTTTTGTCTTATTATGGGACTCCTACTTGGCAGTGCTCATTCACGACCTCGCCTCACGAGATTCGAACTCAAGACCTACCTCTAGTAAATCAATCATTGTTTTAACTAATGTTAATTGATTCAATTCAAATGTAAAAATGCATTAAAGACAGTTACTTTACATAATTAAAAATTTACCTCAATAGCTTTGAAATTTCCATTAATTGCAGCTCTATGTAATGCAGTCATTGTATCTGAATCTCGATAATCTAAATGTGCTCCAGCATTGACAAGTTGTAATATCATTTCACGTGGATCAGCTAATTCTGCTGCACAACCTAATGGTATCACTGAATGTAATAAATGAAATAATACTGTAATGAACAGAACCCGAATGGGGGACAATCGAATGTATATAACATGTAAACTACAGAGTATCACACTAAAATCTGACAATCATACAGTGCCGTACCAATTGTGTGCCATTTCCGTTCTTTCCTTATTGATCTCCTACTGAAATACATTCAATGCCCGACCGTCTTTATATACTACTTGTGTGATTAAAGTTACCCCGATGACGCATTAACTAGAACCAGCAGCCTAGTGTTGGCTCTGAGTCCTTGTTGGATCTTCTTGCTTTGTTCTGCTCGTTTGAGTCCACAACACAACTTCGGCTTCCACCGTATGAATCATTTTTCTGCTCATTTAGTAAGTGATTGTTGCATTGAACAGTTTGAATTTTTATAGACCATTTTAAATAATAATATTTACCATACTTAAATGGTTTGAATAATTTTTTTCTGGTTAGCGTTTTTTATTTAACGAGTTGGTTTTCTACGGGATGGGGTCGCTAACCCCATGCCCAACCGTCCTCCTTTCTCCAGGCTTGAGACCGGAGGAGCTACAGGCGGAGAATGCTGGTCAGCGGCCGATGCTCCATTGGGAATAACAGGCCTAAGTAAGTAAATAGGTATTTAACATACTTGTATCTTTCATCCGGGATTTAGAACTGCTATTCACAGTAAACCATTGATGATAACTCTACATCCTTGAAGTATGACTATGATTAAAAGTCATACGAGAGAGGTTATATAACTGTTTCCCAACATTTAGTATGTGTACAGTAATGAGCAATTTCAAGTATTCTCGCATTAATTTAATGAGTATTTGTTGTATATAGTAGTTTAATTATTACCGGAGATTTTGTTTCGAACCCCAACTTACACATTTTTATCGACCGGAATATTTGGATATGGATTTTTGGTCCATTCATAGCAGAAAAGTGTTGAACCCTTTAGTTACTTGAAATATCTAGTAAAATTACACCCTTACTTGCAACATGGACTCAATAAATGAACGAGAGAATGCTCGAGAATTCTGGATGCTGCACAATTACTAACTATTGAAAAACTGGTGAATGAATCCATATAATTCCCACTCCAGTGTTCAACACTCATTCACTAAATGAACAGAAAAGTGACCGAACATTTTAGAGTGCGACACGTTTATTAGACATTGAAAACTTCAAAAAGAATATCTGAACGTTAAACGATTTAACTTTACAAGTCAATCTACTGACTAGTATCAAACATCAATTAACCAGCACTGATTAAAGACGGAAACTAATGGTCATACTTCTTCAACTCATTTGTGGAATATAAAGAAGGCCGTGTTTCAGTAGAATAAAGACAACATTGAAAGGAATCTTTGAGATATTAAAAACAAATAAGACGCTAAATAAAGCATTTTAAAGAGTTATATAACATAGGATGTAAGTATTAAGAGTCTACTGAATATGATCTGGAGTAGTAAGTAAGCCGAAATGATTCGCAGTTAATATGATTTCATCATATTTTGTCATTTAAAATGAGGCCAGTAAACACTATCACTGTGTTCAATGAAATCACTAAAAAAATCATAAATGAAATAATACTGTTTTGATGTAGGTTTTTTCTCTGACCTGGATGGTTTGGTCATGGAGCTTTCATCGTCCTTCTGAACGACATTATCAGTACAAACTTCGGGTAGAAGTGAAGTGTTTGAATTTCTCCACATGTGATTCACAGCTTGTTCTGTGAACCTCAATGTTGATTGGTTATTATTGACCTTAAATCAAAGAGTTTTTGTTAAAAGCGTCATGTTAAACGTTGAATGTTTATTATGATCCACATATGGAGAAATTCAAAAACTTCACTTCTACCCGAATTTTGTGCTGCTGATGATGTCGTTCAGAAGGACGATGAAAGCTCCACGACCAAATCCTCTAGCTCAGAGAACAAAACTCCATCAAAATGTTCATTGTATAAAACGCTACTTAGATTCAAGTACATTCAACTGATGAGTTCCAAATAAGAAAAGAAAAAACATAGTGATATTGAATTCCAGATTAAAAAAATGAGCATTCTAATTCATATATTTTTCATAGTTGAAGTCATGAGTCAATTGAAGCTAGAGCACCATCGAAAACCTGGAAGCACTGGACGGCCGTTTCGTCCTATTACGGGACTCCTCCTCAGTGGCAGTGTGCCTCCCACCTCACGAGATTCGAACCCAGGACCTACAAATCTCGCGCCAGAGCACTTAACTGATAGACTACTGAGCCGGCCGGCATTCAAAAGTGTTAATGTTTAACTTCAACCAATCCATGAAGTTTGAGCAACCGTCCATAATTGTTTTTAGTGAGTTCTTTTTAAATAAATGTATTAACGTATTGTTTATAAAAGAATATTTACCTCCACTAGATGGATACTGAAAATTTGGATCTAAACCTTGTTCTAATAAATCTGTAACACGTCCAATATCATCACGTTTTATAGCAGATAATAAACGTTTTTGATGATGCTTTAACAAAACAAAAAGAAAATGGATCATCAAATTGATGGATAGATAGATAGATAGATGATCAGTTGAATGCCATTAAACAAATGATTAAACATTATATACTCTTCAGTATTATTGAATTCAATCATTTAAGGATATAACTTACAATGGTCTCTCAAATGCTTATTATATGCCAAGATTCGTATTTTACATTGGCGTTTTATTAGCGAGTTCGTTTTCTATGGAACGGCGTCGCTAACCTCATGCCCAACCCTCTTCCTTTATCCGGGTTGGGACCGACAGTAGTCCCCCGGAGGAGCTACAGGCGGAGCATATTTTACATTAAGATTAAATCTAATCTAAGTATGTTAATCATAAGCAATAGATTATTTTAAGATAAACTTTAATTTTAAGGATCTTTTAAGCTGGTTAATATTTGGAAGCACTGGAAAATTGTTAAGTTCTAGTATCTACATTTATGAAACCATACAAGACTAAATTTAAGAGGTTGAGTTTCGACCGATTGTTATACGCCTTGGAGACTTATGAATGGTAACTTTGAGAATTATTTATGGACCAATATGATATGTATATTTCCTATTGTATAATGGTTAAGTAACTCAACTACTCATATTCGTGTCCCTCTTATTATAAGCTTTATTCTGACCTGTAGACTAATACTGTACGATTTACCATTCCCGAGTCATCCCCAGTCCATTAATTACTGTTCCCCCTATTCACAACCACATTTGACCAAATCTTATACAAATATTATTTTCTATTTTATGGTACGATGTGGTCAGTTTGTTTGGTATATAAACGTAGTATGTTTGAGAATAATGATTCATATTGCAGAGACTGTTATTGGTGTTCTGGACTGAATACACTGGGCTAAACGGGAAGCAGGATCGATAAGGATTCTAGACTGTTTGTACAGGTTTCATGTATTATTGCTCTGACCGATAATTCACTTCTCTCTAATTGGCGGCATCCTCACGTCATATATTAACAGGACACACACGCACTCACTCTACATAACACCGATAACTCATTATCTACAGATCATGAAACGAAAATCATTGATGGCAGTGAATAGTAATGGAAATAAATGAAAAACTGATTGATCAAGTGTAAAAATCTCCAGACTATTGCGAAGTAACCAATGCTAATCAAGATGTACTTATTGTGTAATTGTGCATTCTGGGTTTTACAGTATATCAGCTAAGCTGACTAGTTTGCTGTACTATTTTTGTAGAAGATGTGAAATACTTCACACATAGATACACTGTTTCATTTCACCTTTGTAAACGATAAAACCTTCATTTGTACATTCATCTACCCATCAACTCTTATCACATGAATGTTAAATAAATTTACTAAACAGTTGTCAATCAGTGATTTTAGCACTTTGAGTTCAACTAGTTGCTGATATTTTACATTGCGGACTGACCTTAGTTAGAGCACTATCGTAAACAAAGAAGCACTGAACATTTGTTTCGACCCATTCTGAAACCCCTCAGCTGTGCGCATCAAACACAGGACATGCAGATCTTTCGGCAACCTTTAGATCGATGAGTTGAAACCCAATTTTGTATATGTTGGGCTCTGATCGATTCACGATATTTCACGACAGCCTCTCCTTGCTCAAAGTAGATAGCTTTCCAACCCCCAACAATGCTTGGCCCTACTAATTACGGTTTCACACTAAAACTCTTGGAACTGTATCTGAAAGTTGGTCTCAAATGAGTACAGGATTGTTATGAGTGAAGAAAATTTGGTTGACAAACTTTCTTAGTTTACATTATAAATTAGTTGAAATTAGCCCTTTGTAAAATCGGACGCTGATCCAGTGACGTAGAGGTTATGAGTATTTGCAAGACCAAATTTTCTAGGTTCTATCCTCTGTGATTGAGTCGTGAGTGAGCACTATTGTGAAGCACAAAACTAAGAAGTAATAGCTATCTAGTAGTTCCTGCTTTTCGGTGGTGGTTCAACTAAGGTTAGTCTCTGATTTAAACTACTGAAATTTAACTATTTACACTTAAACTTTATATTAATGATAGGTTGTAAATTCAAGCATCTATCGACAAACTAAGCTTGATGGCAACCGAGTAGAGTACCATTACCATGGACAATAATTTACACTGGTGAATGAAAATATGTTTAAATCTAATTTCATCTATTCATTAATGCAGATTAAATACCTGAGAAAATGAACTTACTTTTGAATTAATTCGTTTAGTTATTGACTTTGATCCTTCTAGACGATATTCTTCAACAAAACGAATTTTTGGCAGAAGCTATCAATAAAAGAACACGAAAACATACACAAACTCATCATTAGCATGGTTTGTTTAAATCTTCCCATTGATGTTTAGGACTCCAACTGGTCATTCTCTTATTGGCTATATGTGCATACTGTGAGTATAGCCTCGATATAGCCTTAATTCACAAACATTAATAGAAAAGATGGATAGTGACTAGCAGTGGAATCTAGTTTGACACGCATCTCATCCTAATTGAGACTCGTCAGCTGGATGTACCTGCATCTTAGAATTGATGTTTACTCTGGAACTCAAACCTAGTACCTTTCATTTCAAACTCCATCGCGTTATCCACTCCGCTACTGAGTCCTGATAGCCATTTGCTTGTGTATTGAGGTGAAATTTAAATTCACTTGGTATGGTTTGTTTGAATCTTCCCATAGGATGAAATACGTGTCAAACTGGATTACATTGCTAGCCATTATTCATCTCTGCTCATCATTAAATAATTTGAAAAATTAAGAAAATTAACAAGTTTTCTTATTACAATTTCCATGAATTTACCTACTGGTAAAAGTTACTGCTTTAAAACCATTATTGGTGTCAAAAGATTGTAAATAGACTTCTTTTTAATTTCAGTATATGAATTATGTAGTGTTATGTAACATATGATTTTTAGCTGACAATTATTTAACCCATTCAAGATAACTGGGGGTTAGAGTACTGGAGTGAACATCAACTCTGGAATCCAAGTACATCCGGTTGATGAGTCCTAAATAGGACGAAACGCACGTTTTATGATTCCACTGCTAGCCACCATCCATCTTTGCTTATTAAAGATGACGAAAATATTGAACTTCAACATTCTCAAAAAAACATATTGTCATCACTAACTTTCTTTTCATGTTAGTCTGTAATGTAAGTAGTTTTATTGTTTATCAGGTTAGCTTTTAAACCTTACGTATTTAGTATATAATGATGAAATCCCAATGATCAAAACTGAAGTTTGATGAAGGTCAATTTCAAACATCGTAACCCTCAGTGAATGTTTATACTGGTAGTATATACTATAAGTATCCATTATCAACCGATGAATTCAGTGTTTAACTATAAATGTGATTTGAAAGTAGGAATATGGTGTATGCTACTTTGTATACAGATATAAGTAGTATATGGTAGTCATTGAAAGTGAAATACCTGTTAGCAGATGATTGAGAAGATTGAATTGAAGAGAACAGGAAAGAAAAAGCATACAGCATTTGTAATAACAACACAATTGAAATAATTATGAATCATATGAAGCACAAATGCAGTATTAAATAGTAAATTGGCTATCCCCATCAACTCTTCTTTCAGTATAATATCACATGTATATTCTCATTGTAGACATTAAAGAGTGAATTTAATCTTAATTGACGTCTAAAGTGATTGGTACTGATTTTCTAGTTTTAATCAAAGTTAGTATATCCAGATATAAGATTCTAATTAGAACAAAACGTACATCTTGAACTCTTACTTACTTACTTACACCTGTTACCCCTCGTCGAGGAGAATCGGCAGCATACCAGCATTCTCCATCTAATCCTATCCTGGGCAATTCTTTCCAGTTAACATTCATCCTTTTCATATCTGTTCCTATTTCCTGGTGTAATGTGTTCTTTAGCCTCCCTCTTTTCAGCTTCCCTTCAGGATTCCAAGTTAGTTATTGGTTCGTGATGCATATTGGTAATTTCCTTAATGTATGTCCGATCCGCTTCAACTTATTTTCCTAATTTCCTCTTCAGTTGGAAACGCTGTTGTCGATAGTATCCGGCCAATGAATGTTGAGTATTTTACGTAGACAACTGTTTATAAATACTTATACCTTCTTAACGATGGATTTAATAGTTCTCCATGTTTCAGCTACTTACAGTATGACTGGCTTTGACGTTCGTATAAAAAAAATTCTCACTATGAAATTAATTAACAGTTGTTTTTAGTTTCATATGTTCTTCAATTGTAGAAATATTGCCCTAATTTTGCCAATCCTAACTTTTACATCTGTATTAGATCCTTCTTCTTCTTCATTAATTATACATCCCAGATACATGAATATTTCCACTTCATCTTCCATAGTTTCACCATCGAATATGATTATCACTGAAGGATCCACTAATCTCAATCTTTACTAATCAATATAAAGTTAATACTCTTAACAATAACAAACAATATCAAATCTTTATAATCAAAAAAAAGACAAAACTGATTAACTTACCTCTAATACAACTGGTTCTTTAGATTTATTATCATTAATTAATTCTGTATCATTTATTAATTGTTCATTATTTAATAAATTTAATTTTATAGCAACTAATTGAGGATATTCTGATATAGTACGTTCATCTTGTAAAAATTTGCCTTTTTTACCACAATCTGGTGGTAAATATAAACCATAATTAATAAAATTTATTTCTTTTAAATTATATGTTTCTATAGCTTGTTTTCTTAATTCACTAATTAAGATATCTGTACGTACTTTGAAGATATACTGAAATAGAAGATAAATATATATAGATTGTTAAGACTGTTTGAAGTATTCATAGTGATCTTACTCTTAATCGATACTAACTCGTTGAAGGTGATCAATCAAACTTTACCACTAGATCATTCTATCAGTCAGTCAGTCAGTTAGTCACAAATGGAGAACTTCGTACATACGTACATACATCAGTTCAAGTTTTCATACCATATTAGCATAGAAATACAGTTGTTGATTCGAATTCCATAATGGTAGATGTAGTAAGAGTATAAATAGTAATCCGAAAGATTAGGGTTTGAAAATGTTATTCAAGGACTATAATACAGTGAAATAAATTTGGAAAGAGAAAAAAGAAAAGGGACATGAAGAATTCAGAAGATTAGAATTTGGAGGAACACAAACGGTGGATGCATCTGCACCAATGTAAACGATTTTGAGCCATGTCATTCAATGTCTTTAATCGATTGATTGCTATCATCTCGCGAATCCCAACCAGGTAGTCTACACCTACTAACATGGCCCATTCCACTTGTCAGTGACTTCATGGATTTGTGGTATTTTTTGGTCTGGCCTCCCCTAGCTTTCTTCCAACCTACTTCTACACCATAAAACATTGCACGTCGGGGTAGTCGTTGTTTGGGCATACGTAACACGGGTCTTAGTCATCTTAACTGATGAAGTATCACTACTTCATCAATCGATTTGCCATCCTTACCTGGTACTCGTTTCCTATTACCTGCATTACTTACCCGGTGGTCCCAGGATATACGAGCAATGCTTCGAAGACACCTTTGATATGATGTGAACCACCTTCTTCAACTTATGCACACAATCAACTACAAGAATTCACTCAATTATTACCATTTTTCAACTTATCTATATTTGGGTCACTTGGTTAGAAGATACTTGGTAATCAGTATCTACCGATTCCGTCGTATCCTGTGTATCTTTCCATACATAAATGGTTGGCATCTTTTGTGTATACGATATGTTTGATGCTAATTACAATTTCTACTTACTCGGTAACGGAACGAAGATCAATGACACAGTGACACTATAGACTATCCTAATCTGTTGTCCTACGTCCCGCCAACTAGAGTGTGATATGCTTGAACTAAATCGATTCCGCGGTAACGAACGAAAGCCAATGATACAATGACACGATAAGCTATTCTAATCTGTTATCCCAGGCCCCGCTAACTAGATGAAGAAGTCCAAGGCAAGTAGGGGAATATATATGTATTCCGTAAGCAGCCGAGTACAAGCAATCAAATAAGAGAAAAAGTCAAGCGCATTTATACAGCAACAAATTGTCCTTGAGCATCAATAGTAAATAGCACACACAAAAAAACAATGGACCAATAGCGTTTAAGATAGTTTACAAGTGGGAAATATGACGTGAAGGTAAAAAGAGCGCGTTTGGCGCGAAAACAGCTAAATTCAAATTTTCAAAATAAAATTACAAAATAAATCATTTACCAAGTAAGTTCGATCAAACTTTATCACTGGATCATTCTATGATATGATATGAACCGCTTCATTTAGTTTTGAAATATCATCTTCTTCAACTTATACACACAATCAACTACAAGAATTCACTCAACTAATGCTATTTTTCCACTTATCTATCTATATTTAGGTTACTTGGTTAGAGGATCCTTGGTAACCTGTATCTTCCGATTCCATCGTAACCACTGTATCTTGGTTAGGATCTTTTATGTATATAGAAATAGATTGATTTTCTTAAAAACCTGATTATTTTGTTTACGGGGATTTGAATTACGCCAAGTTGTCATGTGTTTTTGTAATTAAACTCATTTTACTGTATTCAGAATTTAGAGTTACTGAATAAATAGACTGTTACTGAAATCGAAAGTGATCAAACGACAAACACTGAATTTACTTTAGCCAAACAATCACTAAGAATCACAGAGCACTTGAATATCGTTTTATCCTATTAAAGTACTTTTCAACAGTGGAAACGCACACGCTGCATCCAACCGAGGAACTTAAAATCCTTCAGTCAGTGCAGAATAATAAGTACATCATCCAGTTCAATCGGCAAACATAAACTACACCTGAAACTCTCAACCAGTCGCTACACCTATGAAGACCGATGTTTATAATTAACACTTTAAATATCGACTGTACATTTTATTTAACAAGAAAATAGTTTCTAGTATTTGGAACTGAGTTAATCGTTTGAGACGATAAACTATTTTAATTGAAATACATTGCTTACTTATGAGTAGGTTAAAATTTTGTCTTAAATGTTCTGAGAGCCAACGTGTTCTGCAATATCAGAAATACTAATGAACTAAATTTTGTACATGAGCACAAAGATAGGTACCTGTATTTATTCTTAGGGTTACGTTATGAATAATTGATTGAACCGTAGCTCAATTTGATTGTCTACGCTTAACACGTTACGCCGAGAAATAGAGACGGACATGAGAATAATGAACAACAACTGGATAGAACTAGAAAAAAAGGCTCAGGACAGAGTGGGTTGGAGAATGCTGGTCGGTGGCCTATGCTCCATTGTGAGTAACAGGCGTAAGTAAGTAAGTAAGCTTAACTAAGTAACTAAACGATTGAATAATTACTTATTAAGTTCGATAGTTCAATAAATTAAACACATAGTCCACAATATTAAATAATAAAACGAATATTTCAAAGAAGAGAACCTTTCATTTAAATGATTTCAACTTCAGAAGTCATGTAATTATGTACATCTATATCAGGCGATTAATAATATAATGAATAAGTATGTGTATTGGACTCGTGCCATCATATATCTACTTAATGCTTCTAGTGATAAGTCATTCACCACAATCTCTGGTTATGTTATTGTTAGTCACTGTTAAGAAGTCCCATATGAAGGATAACACACCTGTTTGGTGATCCATGGTTTTTATTGATACACTCATTGAGATCGAATTTTGATGAATAAAACATGCAAAACAGCAAGAAAACTTTCTATTTAAAATTCGATTTTAAAGGGGACATATATGGTGACATTTTAAGTCGACACAAAAGATCTGATGAAAAGAGCAATTCATTCCACTAAGTTACATGTAATCTACTCAACCAAACCAGTACTTACACAACAAATCAATGTTAAGTTAATAGTGATGAGCTCTCCCATGTGTGCTTACGAAATTCACTACTCCTATGGAACTAGTTATATAGACCTTATTCAGAGTTTTATTCTTTACTTGTTCGTAAAGATGTACCAGCATGATTGGGTAAAGAAGTCATGACAGGTATCAACAGCGTCATCTTTTCACACTTAGCAGATAGGGAACATCATAATAAAATAAATGAATCTTTCTCCGTTTTGTATGAAATTCCAAATGATCTATATAAAGGAGCTGGATTACGGCTTCTCTACATAGCAAAAGTCTTCTGGATCAACTACAGAAGACCGAACTTATGTGTTCAAAAGAGGTATATCCAGTCTCTATAATCAACGACTGGATCATCAGATACTAAAACTGCATATTATAAACCTCTTATCCTCCTCTCAATTCCTTTAGTTTTTTTATCTTTCTTAATCTATATATTAATATTTCCCAATTCACATAACTTGGTATTACCTCCATTAATAAGACGAAACTAACCAACTGTTCATTTTATTCACATGACTTATTGTATTACTGTTATACTGATTACAGCTTGACACTTCATTACGAATCGTGCTGACCTTTGTTAAATGAACTTCCTTGAAAACGCTTGGATCGAATTGCCAGGCGAAAAGTTGGATTTACTTCTCTGAGATTTTACAAATACATTCGGATGGAGTTTTGTTCTCTGAGATGGATGGTTTGGTCGTGGAGCTTTCATCATCCTTCTGAACGACATCATCAGCACAAACTTCGAATAGAAGTGAAATGTTCGAATTTCTCCACATGTGATTTAGAAGGACAATGAAAGTTGCACGACGAAACCATCCAGCTCAAAGAACAAAACTCCATCAAAATCACCCACCTGAGCTACAAATCTTTTCCACCATCTCAAAATACATTCTTCCTCTTTAATGTCTTACATCAACTCAACTCAACTGAAACTGTTCAATCAAATTTAGACAAAAGTTTTCAAATTACCGATCTTGACGTATACAAAAGTTATCCACCTTTATTACCATATAACATTGTCAAATACATTAATGCATGCCTTATTTTTGATCTTTATAAAATATCACAATAATTATAACTGTAAAGCTTGATGATAAAGTTATTGAACCCCATTATTCATTCAAATATACTTTGTTTTTGAAGATTAGAAATAAGTTAACTAAATATTAGAATAACTCCGCCTGTAACTCCTCCGGGAGCTACTGCCGGTCTCAAGCCCGGATAAAGGATGAGGGTTGGGCATGGGGTTAGCAACCCCATCCAGTAGTAAACTAATTCGCTACAAAAACGCTATCCAGAAAATAACAAAAAGAATAAAGAATGTTTTAAAGATTAAAAGTCAAGGACGTAGCTAATAAACAAGAGAAGATTATGTCATTTTACAAGTAGGTAAATAAACATAATTGTAAAGAAGAAAAAGATCTTCTTAACTATGAGTACACATTAATAATAATAAGTGAATTTTAGTAAAAGTAAGAATAAGTTTAAGACAAAAAGCGGATAAAAAAACACCGAGCAAGAATTGAAATGGATGATAAAGGAATATATATAAATACTAGGACAAAACGGCCATCTAATGCTTCCAGGTTTTCCATGGTGGTCTAGCTTAAATCAACTCATGAATTCAACTAATTAATTACTATAATCTCCACAAAACTCTCTTTCTGATAATAATCATTATATACCCACTAGTGACCGGCATCAAGATGTATTTCTTGGATTTCTAATGGAAAACTGTGACTCATTGAAGACAATGGCGAATGGTAGCTCTATTTAGTGGATTGGTTGGAGTTAGACATTAACACAGTTGAATGCCGGTTCAGCATTCATGAGGTCGATTGTTCGCGCGTGAGACGGAAGGATTTAGGTTCG